AAGTCCGAATGACTTTGATTTACACGTACCCATTTATAAATACACATTCAATCTCCCTTGTTAGAAATTTAGTCAATAACTCAATCATTTGAATCCCCACTAAATCATTCAGAATTCATTTAAACACTTAACTACCTTCCATCATTAACCCTTAGCCCCAATTATTTGGATTTAAATCAAGAAGCTCAACCTCTTTCTTAACAAGCTTGACCAAAAGATATGCATAAGTATATAGGTATATCGACAACTTTGTTTCTTCATCTTTAATTCTTGTGTAATCAACTTGATTCTAAATTTCAATTTCAATCAATCTTAGACTCAAAGCCCCAAACTTCAAACATTAATTTTTCCCTTATTCTTTCGGCTAGCATCACACTCTCATTCCCATTAATATAAAACTTTATGTAATCCTTCTATTACTTCCCTATTCAACTCCTTACAACCTTCTAAACAACAAATGCCAAGCTACTAGCATCCTTACTGATAATCTGAAAAATTCCTCCATCTTTAATACATGCTCTAACCATCCAATCCTTGAATACTTTGCACTTGTTATTAGCTTATAACCATTACTTCACATTTAAAGTATCACTAGTTAACTCCTACGGTTTTAGTGTTTATGAGCACCAACAAGCTAACCCGCAAAAGTCCAGCATATATATGTTTATATTATCAATCCTTCGTTGACGCATAAACCCGACAGCATTATAGCAGCAACTACGGTCCCTGTTTCAGTCAACAAAAACAGATCAATTTTCCATACACTCAACAGCAAAAACTTCACGTAAAACCAGTGGCTAACACCCCAAAACCGACATGCAATGGCAAATCACATTATTTCCCCTCTTTTTCATTAGAACCCGATGTCCTAGGCTTCAAAACTTAACCCCTGTTTCGGTAATCATAAACAGAGACAAAGAGGGAAAACCTTCAGACCGAAAGAGACACACACACATATTTCCTTCCTTTTATCCGTGAACCCGACGCCTATCAACTAAAAATATCATGCCCTGTTCGGAGATCCATGAAACAGAGGCATTAATGACATGCAAGCTCAAAAACCAGCATCATATACTTCAATATTGCCATATAACATGAACCCACCGATCCTTCTCTCCTTTCCTTAACTTTCTCTCACTAAAGCCAAACTTCTATCTTCATCAACACCTCAAACAGCCCCTATTCAATGACAATAAAGGTGCGAGAAGGATTAGGGAGCTCACCTGGATTGTTTGATCGGTTTGCATGCACTGGATACCACCTCGGGTCACTCCTCCAGTTCCGCCGAACACTGTTTCTCCCGTGCTCTCCCTCTCTCGCTCTCCGTCTCTATCTCTCTTTTCTCTACGGACACCGAATGAAGTAAAATAAAACGCATGGGTGATCAGTTGTTAATTGAGGGAGTGAATCAGACACGTGGATGACCGGCTGTTGAATGGAGAAATAATTCAGATGTCTTGAGGAGAAGGCAGCACGTATATTGTATAATTGCTGTACCATTTTGCCCTTCTAAATAATTACTCCTCCAATCCTATCCCTTCTCCTATTTTTCTGAAATATAAGATATATCCAGAAATTAAACCAAAATATCATAAATGGATTTTTCTTATCCATTAGCTTCTTTGACCCATAAAATAAATTTCCTAAGAAAATAACCCATTTTGCTATGAAAATAGCTTTAAAATCATTTAAGCCAGTTTTTGGGGAATGAACCTTTCCAAAATATTTCTAAACCTTGAAAATCAATATTCCATAATTTTTCCCAATTGATTGAGCTATTAAATAATTTTAATGAACTTTCTCTTTTCTGCTCATCCTGAGTCAGAAAATTCGGGATGTTACACAAAGGATAAGAAAATATTTATATCCCTGGAATCTTTATCACGGCATCTTATACATTTCCTTGATCAAGTTATATTTTTAAAAAAATTACATGGATTAAAAGGTATAATTATTTCAAGAAGTAATTTTAGTTTGAAAAAATAATGATATATATACTTGACACTCATTTGATCCCACACGAAATAAGAATTTTTTAAAACAAAAATAATTATAGAAGCGGAAAGGAAAAAGAAAAAGTCCTTTGAATCCGCAGTATTATGGGGAAGCTCATACAATACATCAGTACAAGATATTCAGAGTGCCCTTCGTCATCAGAAACAGTGGTTCAAGTCATAGTCAGTTGTGATTAAATAATATGTGTGTGGAAGATACAGGAAGAAAACGCTGCTGATCAAAAAAAAAAAAAGAAAGGAAGAAAAGGCTTGTGTTTGAGGGAAAGGCAATGAAGATATTAAATAAAATAATTTAGTTAAAATATATAAAATATTCAAATACGACTCTTAAAAAATATTTAAATAAAAAAATATTAATTCACAAATAAATAGAATATTCATGTATAAACCAAACATTATTCCAACCGAGTTGGGTTTTAATAAATAATTACAAGTCCCAGGCTAGAATCCCAATATTTTGCATTTTCTTAATTCCAGGGTTCGTAGCCATACACCCAACAATGTTAAGTTTCCCGGAATTAAAACAATTGATAAATGCACCCACTCTGAAAAAAATTTACATAGTTTAAATCACCAATCAGTCTTCACAGTCCAAGTCCTCTCAAGCATTTAGGGAGCTTGACCAGTCATAAACTCCGTTTTGTAGTCTTTCCCACGCCTTCATCATGTACCCGTCAAGTTGTGGGCTCACCTCGGCCTCATTATCCAGACGAATCTTTCCTTCTAAAGCATCAAGTACCTGCAGCTTCATGTCATTAAATTAAACCTTATATGTGCCCGCGCGCGGGCTATTTTGTTTTAGAAAATCAATTCCCTAAATGGTCAAGGAATTGCCAAATTCCAAGGAGCCACTGGAAATCCTAGAACAATATCATCACAACAATGAGCTCGTAAAAATCTCAAATTCAGAGAGAGATTCAAGATTGCCAAGCATAGGGAAAGGAAATGAAAGATTTTTGGACTAAGATATGTATTAAGAATGATAAAGTCTTGTATTTAGATGAAGATATCAAAGATAGATGGATGACTACTTTTACAAGCTTTTCAACTATGAATGGGAAATGATTAGTGAGATGGAAGAATTAACAATCCAAGAAGGTGAAAAAATTTGTATTTTATCGCAGGATTCCGGATGGAGAGGTAAAAAAGAAGCTATATTAAGAACATGGATAATGGTATAGCTATTTATCCATATGGTTTTATTTTTGAAGCTTGGAAGTATTTTAGGAGAAAAAGTTTTCCCTCTTTTCTCACTAAGCAATTTAACTAGATTTTAAGGTTCGATAAAATTCTAGTGGGATGCAAGAACAAGCAGCACATGCATATAGAATTGTGCACAACTTACGGGAAAAAGACAGATAAAACTTATGAGCCATCCTATGAAACTGCCGCAAAAAGTAGTGCAGATAAGAAACAAGGCTTGTATTTAAAAAAAAAAAAAAGAACAATTAAAATCTATGCTAATACAGTGCAAGAATGATTATTTGACTTCCATGGGAATTGATACAAATATGTTAGTGGAGAAAGAGACTTATATATGAAAATCATTGACTTGAAAATAACTTATAATCAAATCAAATACTAAGATTATTCTGGAAAGCCCTGGGAAGAAAAGGGGGTTTGTGTTGATATATTCGAGTGAACCAAAAAAGAAAAAAAAAAGAAAAAGAAACAAGGAGAGATTAGTGACGCCTCCTAGAGCAAGACAAAATATTTCAATATAAGGATGATTCAACATTAGAGATTATCTGAGTCCTCACTTGCTTGATGTGATTGTTGACATTATGATCAAGCACAAACAAGAGAAAATCCTGAAGTGTATACTCTTTGTAGATAATATAGTTTTGATTGACAAGTCAAAACAGGAGGTCAAATCTAAACTTGAGCTATGGAGTCAGACTTTGAAATCAAAACGTTTTTGTTCGAGTAGAGGCAAGTTAGAAATAATTTAGAAGCAAACGTTGGAGAATTCACCATACCAAAAAAGTCAACGTTCAGGCACCTGAGATCGGTATACGATGCAAAATAACATTGAAATTGATGGAAGCATTGTGCATAAGATACTAGTTGGATGGTTGAAAAGGAGAAACATATGGAGGTTGTTGTCTTTAGTTTTATCAGGAATTAGGGTGATTATAATCAGTTACTCTCAGTTTTTTTTTTTGGGGTACAAAGGTACTCTTCAGTTTTTATCATGAAATAGGGTGGTTATAATCAGTTATCGTGCTAGACCATGTGTAGCTCGTGTACTTATTATGTGGGCAAGAAAAGTACTACCTCCTATCTTTTATATAAAAGATAGTTGATTAATTTGAATATATTAAGAAAGTTTGTTAAGTTAATTATTTGTAATAAATAGGTGATGTTTTTTCTAATACTTTTGCTAATCATATGTATTAGCTGGAACTACTATTTGATAGAATTTTTAACATGTATAATTACTACCTCTGGTCCTAATTATAAGACCGAAGGTAGTACTACAAAACTACTTTAAAAAAAATAGATAACCATGAGAGATGGGATGGATTGGCATCTTATATTTAAAAATATATTGAAAGTCAAACTAGGTCTTATGTGAAGGATCGAAAGGAGTATTATTCAGTAAATGTATTTCTTCCCCCTTACTTTGTAAGATTCAAATCCTGGTTCTAGAGTTCCTCTCCTTGTCTAACACTTTCGCTTCTCTTTATTCCCCTTTCCTCTATTTCTACTACTATTTTCTAGATTCTCCCACTTCTAGGATTAGCTTCTGATTCTAGAGGATCCTCATCTCCCTTGTATGGCCCTATTATTTCTTCTACTTATTCTATCCTTTTCCATCTAGTTTCTAACATAGACGTACGCAAACAAAGCTACTAGAGGTGTTAGTGAGGAGAGTTGGGCAGAAAAGTTTTAGCCCTATAAAAGGAAGCCAAGGTAATTCAAGAAACACCCTTAGAAAATTATCAAACAAGATATCCGAGTTAATAATACTTAAAGAGTTAATTAGGGATACAGTGTAATGGCATTGTGCACCTGCGATCCATATAGTGGATATCATTTAATGGAATAAGATTTGTTGATGTTGTGTTTAACTATTATTAAATTAAAATGCACTTAAAACTTTTCATCGATGTCGAAATTCCCAACCGTTTTTTCAGTCTTAATACAGCATGACCAATTTCAACAAACAAATTTTTCTTTTGCAGAAATAGGTAAATCAACTGTTATAGAGGCTTGGGGCTTCACACCTGTTAGAATTACGAGTGGCCTAAATAATTTGACTCCTTTTAAAAAAAAATAAAAAATCAAAGAACTAGTTTGGGGGGAAAAACACACAAAAACAGACACACATTTTAACAAATGGTTCGCTAACCTCTCTCATTGTAGGACGAAGATTGGCTGAATCTCGCACGCAATTTGCAGCACAAGAAGCCATTCGGAACATCTCTTCGGAGTTGTAATTATTCTGCAAGCTTCGATCAGCAAGAGCCTCAAAGTTCGGATCTTCCGATTTTAAAGCTGCGAAGAGTTTAGGTCTTGCCTGTAATTTGTAACATGTATCAGTGCAGAAATTTCAGGTATTCATTATTAGTTATCTAAGATTTTGTTCAGCATTATTTCTGTTAAAATTTCAAATAGCTGATAGACGAGTAAGGTTTGCCCATTTCGGTGAATGCATGCTTGACATATCTTGAACTAGCTGTCTTTCGTGACTAATATGAAAACCATTAGATCAACAGTCGATATTTTTTCCTTTTGGAACAAAAATCCCTATTGAAGAAAAAATAGAAACGAAAAAATCCAGAACAATACTGATCTTCTTGCCACCAAATCACAGACTATATACTAGAGAAAACATTGATGAATACTGTACACACCCACTTAACCATGCCCTCTGAGAAAGACCCACAAGCTTTTTGTCCTGTAATCAACTCCAAAAGCACAACACCAAAGGCGAAGACATCCGACTTCTCACTGATTTTCCCACCAACTAAACACTCTGGAGCTAAATATCTGTATTCCAACGATGGCAGAACTTCTTAGAGATTGAAATAAACAGTTCACTGAAAACGGGGGCAATTAAAAAAATAACAACAAAGAAAAAGTACAGTCCAATGGCAATTCATATACTTTATATGCAGTGAGATAAGATTCAAAAGAGAAGATTATAAAAGAACATACGACTAAGACTTACCCAAAGGTTCCCATGAATTGTTGCACAGAGAGGTGGGTAGCAGTGTCTGGCAAAAGTTTTGCAAGTCCAAAATCTGCTATCTGATTAACAGATACAAGCACACATAATTATTTTGTTATAGATAACGTATGTTGGTATTCAGAGTGCCATGTTGGAAATCAAGATGAGCGAAGCCCAGCAACTTTGCAATTCGTTATATGGTAATTGAATGGATTCTTTGGCGCAGAAAAAACAATTTGGAATTCCTCGCAATGCTATTTTACCAAATATGGAAACAGGAATGTGAGTTCAAACCTTTTTCAATAACATCATTTTGATGCAAAGCCGTCTATTAGATATTAGGATATTCTATCATTGATATAAGGAAAAATTACAATTAGGTCCCAAGTAAAAAACATAATTATCCAAGAGTCCCAATAACAAGTTAGAAGTTGTCACTTCCTACTCTAAAACTTATCATTACAAGTTGTTCAGTTGTTATCAAGGCTTTTTAGCAATTATGTTTGTTTCTTGGGACTTTGTTGCAATTCTCCCTTGATATAAATACTCCCTCCAATCCTTACTATATATGAGCTTCAAATAACTAATTTGATCATAATGAAAAATCAATTAAAATTAGTTCAAACAATAAATAGGCAAGAAATATACTTTTGTTTTCAAATATGTCTTTATAATTAATGAGAAAAAGAATGAAAAAGAATGTATAGAAAAATCTAATGAGAGAGATTATGGCAAAGGAAAGAGAATAAATAATTAAGGATAAAGTTGGAAAAAAACACATTAAATGTTAAGACAAATCTAAATTGAAATTTATAAAATGAATCACACCCCTCCCTAAATTTGAAACTTATAAATAGTACTAGTTGCAATAGTATAGATTCGGATATTATTTCTGGGGATATTATTATGTCATTAAGAGCCATTAATACTGAGGCTCATCCCTCCTGTATATATACCCATTGTCTAATCATGAATAGATATAAAAAATTCATATTATTTCCTTCTGTTTCCCTATATGATATTAGAGCAATTGCAATTCTATACTTCTATTTCATACAATATCCAGAGGGGTTTGCAAGGAAAGTGAAGTTTGTTTTGATTAACGTCGAACGACACCTGAGGCCCAATCCCATTAGAGCTCACTAATCTGTTCTTAATTAAAGTTATTATTATTATTGGAATATTCAGGAAAATAAAATCAGATCAAATATAATATGATTTTATCTAGTTTTTGATTGATCGTATCTAGATTTGATTTTTCTATTATTTTCCTTCCTATATGTATAAACTGAAAGCCTCTAATGAAATATAAAGTTAAGAATCAATTACTCAGCTGACCATAAATTTGAACCTTGGTGAACTATAGGACAAGCAACAGAGATCACACCTAATTTGGCAATGGTTCTAGTAGTGAGAAGAACATAAATAATGAATTTTAGGGGACAAATCATGTTGTCCAAAGAAGTATAAGAACAATCAAATCCTATCACTATACCAAAGAATCAGCACAGAGTTGAGGAGACACATACCTCACTCTAATCATCTACCCAACCTCATATCCATTACATGATGACCTATGTTGGCCTTTCACATTGAGGAAAGAGGAAAGATCTTGCACTACTAAGCATCTTATTGGTAATTTTGTGTCTTATGAAAGATTATTCCCTGCTTTGAGAGCTTTTATGCCTAGAGTTTCAAATGATGATATTCCTAAAATTGTGCATGAATCCTTGGAAATTTCATAACAGAGAGAGGCCATTGATGAAGAAATGGTAGCACTGGCTAAGAATGGTACTTGTGAGTTAACTAAGCTTCCTAAAGGAAAGTCAACAGTGGGATGTAGATTGGTATTGACAAAGAAATACAATCCAGATGGTTCAGTCGGTAAGTATAAAGCAAGATTGGTTACCAAGGGCTTGACTCAACAATGTGGAATCAACTATGAAGAGACCTTTGCTCCAGTAGCAAAATTTAATACAATTAAGGTACTATTCTCATTAGTGGCCAATCTTAATTGGCCTTTGCATTAACTTGATGTGAAGAACGCATTTCTCCATAGTGATTTGGAAGAGATCTATATAGATGATTCCCTAAAGTCAGTGATGGCGAAAATAAGAATAGAGTTTGCAAATTGCCAAAAAAAAAAAGCCATTGTATGGCCTTAAATTATCTCCACGCAATTGGTCTGAAAAGTTTATTAATGAGGTCAAAAAGAAGGGTTATAATGTATGCTGATAATATCATTATTACAGAGGATGACGTTGACAAATTGGAGAACTTGAAAAACTTAAACTATAAAATTTGGAATCAAGGATCTTTGATCCCTACAATACTTCTTGGGGATGGAAGCTGCTAGATTTGAACAAGGTATAGTTGTATCACAGAGGAACTACACACTTGATCTGTCGAAAGAAACAAGTGTGTTAGGTTGTTGTCTAGTAGTGATGCCCGTGGAAATGAATCTTAAATTGGGTGTAAGAAAGACTGTGCACTTGTTAATAATAAGAGATATTAATGATTAGTGGGTGAGTTAATTTACTTAGCCAAGGCCAGACATTTCCTATAAAGTGGGAGTAGTGAGTCAATTCTCTAGTAATCCCGACAAGGATCATATGAAGCTACACCATGAAGAGGCCTATTCTTTGGGAAAAGAAGTTAGAGGGGAAAAGTCTATTCAGATATTGATTGGGCAGGTTCTGTTGAAGATAGACAATCCACCTTTGGTTATTGCTCATTTATATGGAGTGATTGGGTGATTTGGAGGAGGAAAAAACAATATGATATTTCACGAAGTAGCACTGAAGCAGAGCATTGAGTCAAGGAATATGTGAAGGCATATGGCTAGATAGACTCTTCAAGGAGCTAAAAATCACTAGAGACGGTCCAGTGGAAGTCTTTACCACAATACTTCTAGTATTAAGATTTTGAAAAATCCCGTACATCATATGAGGATGAAACATGTTGAGATAGATCGCAATTTATTAATGAAAATATAGAGGACAAGAAAGTTGAGGTCGTGTATACACCATCAAATACATAAGTTGCTCATGTACTGATCAAAGCCTTATCTATAACAAAGTTCAATGGCTTCACAAGCAAATTGGGAATGATGAATATCTATTCTCTAGCTTAAGGGGAGAGTTGAATGATGCCATAAGCCCAAGCCCATTAAGGCTCACTAATCTATTGTTAATTAAAGTTTTATTATTATTATTATTATTATTATTATTATTCTTAGAATATTTAGGATAATAAAATCAAATCAAATATAATCTCATTATATCTAGTTTTCAATTGATTGTATCTAGATTTGATTTTTTTTTTGTTATTTCCCTTCCTATATGTATGAACTAAAAGCTTCCAACAAAATTGGAAGCTGAGAACCAGAGAATTAATTACTCAACCGATTTCTTCAATTGAAAATCTAAAGGCATTAAAAGTTGCATTTGGGGATTTACATATTTAATTAGTAATTGTAAAGTTACAAGAGAGACCTACCTTTGGCTGAAAATCATCAGTTAGAAGAATGTTAGCTGATTTGATGTCACAGTGTATGATCTTGGGTTCACCTAAAACGAAACATCAATATTGGAGTGAAAAAGAAAGATTACAAAAGTAATAAAATCAACTAATTAAGATTTCCATACTGTGGAAATTAGTTATATCAGGTAAACTCACAGTCTTCATGAAGATATATCAATCCTTTTGCAGAGCCAATAGCAATCTTCATTCTTGTTTCCCAGTTTATAGTTTTTGTACTTGTTCCTGAATGATATGTATCCATAGTATTTTTATGACTTAGACGAAAGATCAAGCAAGAAGATATCAAATTCTCTTGAACGGATAAACTTAAAGAAGATTTATACTACGCAACTACTATATCTACTCTTTTTCTATAATAGACACTGATGCATTAATTCATGTGGAAGCAAATCACATCAGAAACCATTACATGTAGTAACTTAAAAGAACAAATTTAAGAGATTAAACGGAAAAAGATTAATCTCTCACTACCCAAAAAAGAGTGTTTTTCACAACTACTTTGTGAGAATGCCAACATAATAGAATGTCTCATTTTTAAAAATGGGTCCAAGTCTTACCATGCAACTGGTAGCCTAGGGAATTATTTGGGATGAAATCATAAACAAGCATCATGGCCGGCACAGGGGCTTCATCTTGACCACAGTAGTATCCAACCAGGGAAACAATATGCTTGTGATGGGCTTGGCTAATGACATTTACTTCAGTGAGGAATTGTTGTATTCCTTCTCTGGCACAAGCTTCTAGCTTCTTAACCGCAACAGTCTTACTATTAGAAGGGAGCACTCCTTTATAGACGGTGCCAAACCCACCTTTGCCAAGACAATTTGAATCACCAAATCCTTTCGTTGCTGAGTGTAATTCATCATAGGTAAATATTCTTGGTATGTGTTTGAGTTCCAAGACTTTGGAGAAAGATGGTAAAGCTGCGATGGGTTAAAGAGAAGCATAACAAATCAAGATCAAGTTATATTGAATCATATAGGATGAGTATAAAGTTCTCCCAATAATAAATTTTTTGAAAGGATTGCATTTGTTTTGCATCATCATCAGTAGCAACAGATAATTTTGAATTTAACCATACCAACTTGTGCTTTAGAAGGCACAACGGAGGCTAAGGGCTAGGCTTGGCTACTTGAGATAACTTTGAACTCAACCTCACCTAGTTGTTCTTGAGATGGCTCATTAGGGGCTAATGGCTAGGCTAGGCTTTGTGAGCGTGACTTTTTGACAGGCAAATGATATCCATCATTAGCAATTTCATTGGATTTTGTAACACAATGACAACCGTATAGGGAGGCTAACAGATTTATCATGCTTCATTAAAAGTTACTTTTCAACAATTTCATTTTTGATAGAAATAAACAATGAAGTCTTTTGCATACAGGATACAAATATTGATAAATCGAGATCAAGTTAGGGGAAAAGTTGTCCTTTGTATTGCATTTGAATTGCTTCATGATCAATAGAAAACTTTGAATTTAATGTTACCTTGTGGTGCTTGAGGAGCCACAGCGCAGGTTGATGGGGTGTCTTGGCTTCTCGAGCATTTATTTTCACCTAACAATTGATTTCTATCAATGGCTTTTTGGATGGATTTTGCAAGGTACAGTAATAGCAATATTCAAAGAAGCTAAGAGATTTATTATATTTTATAAAAGTTGCTTTTTCACTGAAAAAAATAAGACACTTTCAAAAATTTTGTTTTTGATGGCAATAAACCATGATATCTTTTAGATATAGTAAACAAATTCCAACAAATCTAGATTGAATTATTCCAAAAGTTATTATGAATTGTAACATGATCAACAGAAAATTTTGAATTTAACTTGACCTAGTTATGCTAGCGAATGCACAATGTGGGCTAATGGCTTGCCACGGCCTCTCACAAGGCGCAACAATAGCCCTATAGAGAGGCTATCAAATTTATCACACCTCACTACAAGTAACTTTTCATGAATTTTATTTTTGAAACAAATAAACAACAAATTCTTTTGGATATAGCAAACACATATGGGAGAATTACAATTAGGTCCCAGCGAAGGGATTTAATTACTCTAAAGCCTTGATGACAAGTGAGAAGTATACACTAGTTATCATTTCCTATACTAGAACTTGTCATTGCATGCTCTTCAGTTGTTAACTGACTTTAGGATAATTAAATCCCTTCCTTAGGACTTGAATGCAATTTTCCCAACAAATATTGATATGTATAAATCAAGTTTGGGGAAAATTTTTTCTCGGCAATGCATTTGAATTGCGTCATGATCAATAGATGATTTTGAATTCAATCTTACCTGGTGGTTCTTGAGAAGGCACGGCGCGGGATGATCGCTTGCCTCGGCCTCTTAAGTGTTCATTTTTCCTAGGCAATTGATTTATGTCATTGGCATTTTCGATTGATTCTGCAAGGCAATGTAGCAACCATATTGAAAGAAGCTAAGAGACCTATAGCACAACATTAAAAGTTACTTTTCAGAAATTTCACTTTGGGTGGCAATAAACCATGAATTCTTTTGGACTGACAAATATAGATTTAGTGAGTCTAAAGGTTATCATTGGGAATGCATTTGAATGTTTCACAATCAATAGAATTTTGAATTTAACCTGACCTATTTGCACTTGAGAAGGCATAATGCAAGCTAACCTCTTAACACAGCTTCTCAAAAGGCACAATGACAACAATCCATAGAGGGGCTAATGGATTTATCACACCTCATTAAAAGTTACTTTCCAAGAATTTCATTTTGAATAGCAATAAACAATGAATTCTTTTACACATACCAAGCAAATACTGATAAATATAGATCAAGGTAGGTGAAATGGTGTCCTCTTCTTTGCATTTGAATTGCGTCATGATCAATAGATGATTTTGAATTCAACCTTACCTAGTGGAGCTTGTGGAGGCACGGTGCGGGCAGATCGCTTGCCTAGGCCTCTCGAGTGTTCATTTTCATGAGGCAATTGATTTCCATCATTGGCATTTCGGATTGATTCTGCAAGGTAATGTAACGGCCATGTTGAAAGAAGCTAAGAGATTTACCATACATCATAAAAGTTACTTTTCAGAAATTTCACTTTGGGTAGCAATAAACCATAAATTCTTCTAGACTAACAAATCTAGATTCAGTCAGTCCAAAGGTTATGATTTGGAATGCATTTGAATGTCCCACAATCAATAGAATTTTGAATCTAAGCTGACCTGCTTACGCCTGAGAAGGCACAATGCAAGATACCATCTTAACAAAGCTTCTCGAAAGGCATAATGACAATTATCCTTAAAGAGGCTAACAGATTCATCACACTGCATTAAAAGTTACTTTTCAAGAATTTCATTTTGGATAGATATAAACAGTGAATTCTTTTGCACATTGCAAGCAAATACTGATAAATCTATATCAAGTTAGGTAAAATGGTGTTTTCTCTATTGCATTTGAATTAGGTCACGATCACTAAATAATTGTGAATTCAATCTTACCTAGTGGTTCTTGAGGAGGCACGATGCGAGCTGATTGCTTGTCTAGACCTCTTGAGTGTTCATTTTTACCAGGCAATTGATTTCCATCATTGGCATTTCGGATTGATTCTGCAAGGCAATGTAACAACCATATTGAAAGAAGCTAAGAGATTTATTGTACATCATTAAAAGTTACTTTTTAGAAATTTCACTTTAGGGGGTATTAAACCATGAATACTTTTAGACCAACAAATCTAGATTCAGTCAGTCTAAAGGTTATTGTTGCGAATGCATTTAAATGTGTCACAATCAACTAAATTTTGAATTTAACCTAACCTACTTGCGCTTGAGAAAGCACAATGCATGCTAACGTCTTAACACACCTTCTCAAAAGGCATAATGACAACCATCCAAAGAGGGGCTAACGGATATATCCCACCGTATTAAAAGTTACCTTTCAAGAATTTCATTTTGGATAGCAATAAACACTGAATTCTTTTGCACATAGCAATCAAATACTGATAAATCTAGATCAAGGTAGGTGAAATGGTGTCCTCTCTTTTGTATTTGAATTGCGTCAAGATAAACAAATTATTTTGAATTCAAACTTACCTAGTGGTGGTTGAGGTGGTACTGTGCGGACCGATCGCTTGTCTCGGCTTCTTGAGTTTTCATTTTCGCAAGGCAATTGATTTCCATCATTGGCATTTTGGATTGATTCTACATGGTAATGTAACAACCATATTGAAAGAAGCTAAGAGATTTATCGTTTGGACCAACAAATCTAAATTTAGTCAGTACAAAGCTTATCATTGGAAATGCATTTGAATGTGTCACAATCAACTGAATTTTGAATTTAACTTGACTTACTTGCACTTGAGAAGGCACAATGCAAGCTAAAGTCTTAACACAGCTTCTCAAAAGGCTTAATGACAATCATCCATAGAGTGGCTAACAGATTTATCACACCTCATTAAAAGTTACTTTTGAAGAATTTCATTTTGGATAGCAATAAACAGTGAATTCTTTTGCCCATAGCAAGATAATATGATAAATCTAGATCAAGGTAGGTGAAATGGTGTCCTCTCTTTTGCATTTGAATTACGTTATGATCAAAAGATGATTTTGAATTCAACCTTACCTAGTGGAGCTTGCGGAGGCACGGTGCAGGCTGATGGTTTGTCTCGGCCTCTTGAGTGTTCATTTTTGCTAGACAATTGATTTCCATCATTAGCATTTTTGATTGATTCTGCATGGCAATGTAACAATCATATTGAAACAAGCAAAGAGATTTATCGTTTGGACCAACAAATCTAGACTCAGTCAGTCATTAGGTTATCATTAGGAATGCATTTGAATGTCTAACAATCAACAGAATTTTGAATCTACGCTGACCTACTTGTGCTTGAGAAGGCACAATGCAAGCTGACATCTTAGCATAGCTTCTCAAAAGGCACAATGACAACCATCCTTAAAGAGGCTAACAGATTTATCACACCGCATTAAAAGTTACTTTTAAAGAATTTTATTTTGGATAAATATAATCAGTGAATTTTATTGCACATTCGAAGCAAATACTGATAAATCCACATCAAGGTAGGTAAAATGGTGTTTTCTCTATTACATTTGAATCGGGTCATGATCACCAAATAATTGTGAATTCAAGCTTACCTAGTGGTTTGTGAGGAGGCTTGGTGCGGGCTGATCGCTTGTCTAGGTCTCTTGAGTGTTCACTTGTACTAGGCAATTGATTTCCATCATTGGCATTTCGAATTGATTCTGTAGGGCAATGTAACAACCATATTGAAAGAAGCTAAGAGATTTACCATACATCATTAAAAGTTACTTTTCAAAAATTTCACTTTGGATAGCAATAAACCATAAATTCTTCTGGACCAGCAAATCTAGATTTAGTCAGCCCAAAGGTTATCATTGGGAATGTATTTGAATGTCTCACAATCAATAGAATTTTGAATCTAAGCCGACCTACTTGCACCTAAGAAGGCACAAGGCAAGCTAACATCTTAACAAAGCTTCTCAAAAGACACAATGACAACTATCCTTAAAGAGGCTAATCAATTTATCACACCACATTAAAAGTTACTTTTCAAGAATTTCATTTTGGATAGATATAAACAGTGAATTCTTTAGCACATTGCAAGCAAATAGTGATAAATCTAGATCAAGGTAGGCAAAATGGTGTTTTCACTATTGCATTTGAATTGGGTCACGATCACTAAATAATTGTGAATTCAATCTTACCTCGTGGTTCATAAGGAGGCTTGGTGCGGGCTGATCGTTTGTCTAGGGCTCTTGAGTGTTCATTTGTACCATGCAATTGATTTCCATCATTGGCATTTCGGATTGATTCTGCACAGCAATGTAACAGCCATATTGAAAGAAGCTAAGAGATTTACCATACATAATTAAAAGTTACTTTTCAGAAATTTCACTTTGGGTAGCAATAAACCATAAATTCTTTTGGACTAAGAAATCTAGATTCAGTCAATCCAAAGGTTATGATTGGGAATGCATTTGAATGTCTCACAATCAATAGAATTTTGAATCTAAGCTGACTTGCTTGCGCCTGAGAAGGCACAATGCAAGCTAACATCTTAACAAAGCTTCTCAAAAGGCATAATGACAAGTATCCTTAAAGAGGCTAACAGATTTATCACACCGCATTAAAAGTTACTTTTCAAGAATTTCATTTTGGATAGATATAAATAGTGAATTCTTTTGTACATTGCAAGCAAATACTGATAAATCTAGATCAAGGTACGTGAAATGGTGTCCTCTCTTTTGCATTTGAATTGCGTCATGATCAAGAGATGCTTTTGAATTCACCCTTACCTAGTGGAGCTTGTAGAGGCACGGTACGGGCTGATCGCCTATCTCGACCACTTGAGTGTTCATTTTCGCCTGGCAATTGATTTCCATCATTGGCATTTTGGATTGATTCTGCATGGCAAAGTAACAACAATATTGAAAGAAGCTAAGAGATTTATCATTTAGACCAAAAAATCTAGATTCAGTCAGTGCAAAGGTTATCATTGCGAATTCATTTGAATGTCTCACAATTAACAGAATTTTGAATCTAAGCTGACCTACTTGCACTTGAGAAGGCACAATGCAAGCTAACATCTTAGCATAGCTTCTCAAAAGGGACAATGACAATCATCCTTAAAGAGGCTAACAGATTTATTACACCGCATTAAAAGTTACCTTTAAAGAATTTTATTTTGGATAGATATAAATAGTGAATTTTATTGCACATTCGAAGCAAATACTGATAAATCTAGATCAAGGTCGGTAAAATGGTGTTTTCTCTATTGCATTTGAACTGCGTCATGATCACCAAATAATTGTGAATTTAATCTTACCTAGTGGTTCGTGAGGAGGCTTGGTGCGGGCTGATCGCTTGTCTTGGCCTCTTGAGTGTTCATTTTTACCAGGCAATTGATTTCCATCATTGGCATTTTGGATTGATTCTGTAAGGCGATGTAATAACCATATTAAAAGAAGCTAAGAGAGTTACTGTACATAATTAAAAGTTACTTTTCAGAAATTTCACTTTGAGGGGTATTAAACCATGAATACTTTTAGACCAACAAATCTAGATTCAATCAGTCTAAAGGTTATTGTTGGGAATGCATTTAAATGTGTCGCAATCAACTAAATTTTGAATTTAACCTAACCTACTTGTGCTTAAGAAGGCACAATGCAAGCTAACATCTTAACACAGCTTCTTAAAAGGCATAATAACAACCATCTATATAGAGGCTAAAGGATTTATCACACCTCATTAAAAGTTACCTTTCAAGAATTTCATCTTGGATAGCAATGAACAATGAATTCTTTTGCATATAGCAAGCAAATACTGATAAATCTAGATCAAGGTAGGTGAAATAGTGTACTCTCTTTTGCATTTGAATTGGGTCATGATCAACAAATGATTTTGAATTCAACTATACCTAGTGGTGCTTGTGGAGGCATGGTGCGGGTTGATCGCTTGTCTCGGCCTCTACAGTGTTCATTTTTACCAAGCAATTGATTTCCATCATTGGCATTTTGGATTGATTCTACAAGGTAATGTAGCAACCATATTGAAAGAAGCTAAGAGATTTTTTGTATACCATTAAAAGTTACTTTTCAAAAATTTCACTTTAGGGGGCCAATAAACCTTGAATACTTTTGGAGCAACAAAGCTAGATTCAATCAGTCTAAAGGTTATTGTTGGGAATGCATTTGAATGTGTCACAATCAACAATATTTTGAATTTAACCTGACCTAGTTGCGCTTGAGAAGGCATAATGTAAGCTAACGTCTTAACACAGCTTCTCAAAAGGCACAATGACAACCTTCCATAGAGGGGTTAACAGACGTATCGCATCTCATTAAAAGTTACCTTTCAAGAATTTCATTTTGAATAGCAATAAACAGTGAATTCTTTTGCACATAGCAAGCAAATACTGATAAATCTCGATCAAGGTAGGTGAAATGGTGTCCTCTCTTTTGCATTTGAATTGCGTCAGGATCAACAGATGATTTTGAATTCAACCTTACCTACTGGTGGTTTAGGAAGCACTGTGCGAGTTGATCGCTTGTCTTGGCCTCTTGAGTTTTCATTTTCACGAGGCAACTGATTTCCATCATTTGCATTTTGGATTGATCCTACATGGCAATGTAACATCATATTGAAAGAAGCTAAGAGATTTATCGTTTGGACCAACAAATCTAGATTCAGTCAGTCCAAAGTTTATCATTGGGAATGCATTTGAATGTGTCATAATCAACTGAATTTTGAATTTAACCTAACCTGCTTGCACTTGAGAAGGTATAATGCAAGCTAAAGCCTCAACACAACTTCTCAAAAGGCTTAATGACAGCCGTTCATAAAGGGGCTAACGGATTTGTCACACCTCATTAAAAGTTTCTTTTAAAGAATTTCATTTTGGATAGCAATAACCAGTGAATTCTTTTACCCATAGCAAGCAAATATTGATAAATTTAGATCAAGGTAGTTGAAATGGTGTCCGTTCTTTTGCTTTTGAATTGCATCAAGATCAACAGATGAGTTTCAATTCAACCTTACCTAGTGGAGCTTGTGGAGGCACAGTATGGGCTGATCGCTTGTCTCGTCCTCTTGAGTGTTCATTTTTGCCAAGCAATTGATTTCTATCATTGGCATTTTGGATTGATTCTACATGGCAATGTAACAACCATATTGAAAGAAGCTAAGAGATTTATCATTTGGACTAGCAAATCTAGATTCAGTCAGTCCAAAGGTTATCATTGGGAATGCATTTGAATGTCTCACAATCAACATCATTTTGAATCTAAGCTAACCTACTTGTGCTTGAGAAGGCACAATGCAAGATAACTTCTTAACACAGCTTCTCAAAAGGCACAATGACAACCATCCCTAAAGAGGCTAACAGATTTATCACATCGCATTAAAAGTTACTTTTCAAAAATTTTATTTTGGATAGATATAAACAGTGAATTCTTTTGCCCATTGCAAGTAAATACTGATAAATCTAGATCAAGGTAGGTAAAATGGTGTTTTCTCTATTGCATTTGAATTGGGTCACGATCACTAAATAATTGTGAATTCAATCTTACCTAGTGGTTCTTGAGGAGGCACGGTGCGGGTTGATCGCTTGTCTTGGCCTCTTGAGTGTTCATTTTTACCAGGCAATTGATTTCCATCATTGGCATTTTGGATTGATTCTGTAAGGCGATGTAATAACCATATTAAAAGAAGCTAAGAGATTTACTGTACATCATTAAAATTTACTTTTCAGTAATTTCACTTTGGGTCGCAATAAACCATAAATTCTTCTGGACCAACAAATCTAGATTTAGTCAGTCCAAAGGTTATCGTTGGGAATGTATTTGAATGTGTCACAATCAATAAAATTTTGAATTTAATTTGACCTTCTTGTGCTTAAGAAGGCACAACGCAAGCTAACATCTTAACACAGCTTCTCAAAAGGCATAATAACAACCATCTATAGAGAGGGTAACAGATTTATCACACCTCATTAAAAGTTACCTTTCAAGAATTTCATCTTGGATAGCAGTGAACATTGAATTCTTTTGCACATAGCAAGCAAAGACTGATAAATCTAGATTAAGGTAGGTGAAATAATATACTCTTTTTTGCATTTGAATTGCGTCAGGATCAACAAATGATTTTGAATTCAACCTTACCTAGTGGTGGTTGAGGAGGCACTGTGTGGGCTAGGTGCTTGTCTCGGCCTCTTGAGTTTTCATTTTCATGAGGCAATTGATTTCTATCATTGGCATTTTGGATTGATTCTACATGGCAATGTAACAACCATATTGAAAGAAGCTAAGAGATTTATCGTACATCATTAAAAGTTACTTTTCTAGAATTCATTTTGGATAGCAACAAATAGTAAATTCTTTTGCACATAGCAAGCGAATATTGATAAATCTAGATCAAGGTAGGTGAAATGATGTCCGCTCTTTTGCATTTGAATTGCGTCAAGATCAACAGATGAGTTTCAATTCAACCTTACCTAGCGGTGCTTGAGGAGGAATGGTGTGGGTTGATCGCTTGTCTCGACCTCTTGAGTGTTCAGTTTTGCCAGCCAATTGATTTCTATCATTGGTATTTTGGATTGATTCTGCAAGGCAATGTAACAACCATATTGAAAGAAGCTAAGAGATTTATCATACATCATTAAAAGTTTCTTTTCAGAAATTTCATTTTGGGTAGCAATAAACCACAAATTCTTTGAGAATGCATTTGAATGTGTCACAATCAACAGAATTTTGAATTTAACCTGACCTGCTTGCACTTGAGAAGACATAATGCAAGCTAACGTCTTAACATAGCTTCTCAAAGGCACAATGACAGCCATCCATGGAGGGGCTAATAGATTTATCACACCTCATTAACAGTTACTTTTCAAGAATTTCATTTTGGATAGCAATAAACAGTGAATTCTATTGCAGATAGCAAGCAAATACTGATAAATCTAGATCAAGGTAGATGAAATGGTGTCCTCTCTTTTGCATTTGAATTGTGTCAGGATCAACAGATGATTTTGAATTCAACCTTACCTAGTGGTGGTTGAGGAGGCACTGTGTGGGCTAATTGCTTGTCTCGGGCTCTTGAGTTTTCATTTTTGTGAGACAATTGATTTCCATCATTGGCATTTTGGATTGATTCTACAAGGCAATGTAACAACCATATTGAAAGAAGCTAAGAGATTTATCGTACATCATTAAAAGTTACTTTTTAGGAATTTTACTTTAGGTGGCAATAAACCATGTATTCTTTTGGACCAACAAATCTAGATTTAGTCAGTCCAAAGGTTATCATTGGGAATGCATTTGAATGTGTCAAACTCAACAGAATTTTGAATTTAACCTAACCTACTTACTCTTCAGAAGGCACAATGCAAGCTAAAGTCTTAACATAGCTTCTCAAAAGGCTTAATAACAACCGTCCATAGAGGGGCTAACAGATTTATCACACCTCATTAAAAGTTCCTTTTGAAGAATTTCATTTTGGATAGCAATAAACAGTGAATTCTTTAGCACATAGCAAGCAAATATGATAAATCTAGATCAAGCTAGGTGAAATGGTATCCTCTCTATTGCATTTGAATTGTGTCATGGTCAATAAATAATTTTGAATTCAATCTTACTGAGTGGTGCTTGAGGAGGCACGGTGCGGGCTGATCGCGTGTCTTGGCCTCTTGAGTGTTGATTTTTGCCAGGCAATTGATTTCCATTATTGGCATTTTGGATTGATTCTACAAGGCAACGTAACAACCATATTGAAAGAAGCTAAGGGATTTATCGTACATCATTAAAAGTTACTTTTCAGAAATTTCACATTAGGTGGCAATAAACCATGAAATCTTTTGGACCAACAAATATAGATCTAGTCTATCCAAAGGCTATTGTTGGAATGCATTTGAATATGTCACAATCAATAGAATTTTGAATTTAACTTGACCTAGTTGTGCTTGAGAAGGCACAATACTAGCTAATGGCTTGCCACGGCGTCTCACAATTCATAGTAACAGATAACTTTAAATTTAACCTTACCTGGTTGTCCTCGGCTTCTTGAGGGTGGCTTGCTGACCGGCAAAAGATTCCTATCATTGACGATTTGGTGGGAGTCTGCAAGGCACAGTAACAACCATATTGAAGGAGGCTAACAAATTTATCTTGCTTTATTGAAAGTTAATTTTCATGTTTTTCATTCTTTACTTGTTTAGTTTTTTATTTCTTGCAAGGTACAAATTATATTCTTAATAAGTATAGTTTTTTTATTTCAAAACGTAAATGCTTTTGATTTTGGGTTAAGGTCTAATTTTTTCAAGAAATTTTTCACATAAAATTTGTGGGTGTTTGGAATAAGTGTTAAAAGAAGGAGCAAATTTTCCTTGACTATTAAAAATTAACGTTTACAGTTAACAACTTTTAACGGCCAAGGGTGGCACAGCTTTTTTTTTTTTTTAACACTGCTAGGGTAATATTAATCTGAAAAAACTTCCAAATAATCCACAATTCCTACACACAAAATTTCGAGGCAAACTTGGTCATTAACCCATTTTTTCTTTTTTTTCCCTTTTTAATTAAGATTTAGCAATTTCTTTACGTAGATATATATAATCTTTAAGAAGGGTCCATCACTGTTGTTATATATTACATAGATCAATTGTAGTGTGGCGTAAACAACAAAAACATGTTTTGCAATGCACAGCCATTCAGATAGACATAATCATATTCCATGCACTGTTAAACACTGAGTATCTCTGTTCAAATCAGGATCAGTTATATATATAGATCGGAACAAGGATTTTGTTCAGCCCATTCCACCTATTTCAATGAGCTAGTGGGCCAACCCGAACAGACCCAACCTATATGTCCATTAGCCATCGATCTGATGAACCAGGGACAGAGGAAGGTTACATTATAACCCCCTGCCTTCAATTAAGGGGAAAAAATATTTCCGCATGCAGATACATTATTTCACACAATCAGGCCAACGAATGCAATAATCATGAATTATATGGCATTCTAATTGAAGGAGATACTCATAGCAGTGCTGGCCTGGTTCTTAGAACCTAAGAAGTTATCGAAGAATGAGACGAAGGGGTATGGATAATTTTTATGCAAAATAGTAATCTCAAAATATAAAATGAGATTAAATTAAATGCGGAACTCCAAAATCTTTCCGAAATGTGCTCCCACATTACAACTCCGCAAGCGCCAGGCCCCAATTTCATAGCCACCCATTTCCACGCTATCAGTCCAACCTTTACCCTCCACGAGGTACTCACCTTTATCAAGGTAGAACTTGCAACCTCCCTCTTCTGAAATAATCATGTATTATAGAGCATTATACTTGAAGGAGATACCGAGAGTGGTGCTGGTCTTTAAAATGATCCAAGAAGGAAAGGAAAGGGTATGGGTCATTTTTATGTAAAATACTGATTGTAAAAGTAAAATTAAGTAACACGAAGAAGAGGCAAGAGTAGTAGAGATATTTTCTTGTCTTTCTCTCTCTTGTGAAATAGATCCTGCAACAAAAACCTCAAGCTAAATCCTTAAAAGAAAGAAAAGCAAAGAAGGCTTTACCTCTGAGTGATCTGGTCCTTCTCTTTCTACATTTAAAATAAATCGCACAAAGCACCACCACGATCACCGAAAGAAAGACACTTGCTCCAATTGCTCCGTACTTAGAAGAACTGGACGGAGTCGGCGGCGGCTCGGTCTGGTACGGAGGTACTTCTTGACTGTGAAGGAGAATGAGGTGATCCGAAGCAGCGAGTGCGAGAACGAGAGTAAGGGGCGCCAGTTCCCAAGAATACATGTTGGAACGGAGACTATCCCGGCGCAAGCAATACTCTGTAGCCGGAGGCCGAGAGCGAGGAATTGCTGAACTAGTGCTCCAGCAAGGCAGCAACCAACAAAGGAGACGTCGATCTCCCTACAACCATTTTACAGCCTTTCTTTTTTGTCCTCACTCGGCTCAAGCTTGCTTTTCCACGAAAATGCCCCGCTTTTCCACCGGTCGTCACAAATTATTTGTTAATGCTCCTTTGGAATCATTCACGTAACTATTTATAAGCATATTTTAAACAAAACTCTTGTTCTTAGGTATTTATCTCATATAGGGTAAATTATAATTGAAATGTTGTTTATAAACTATTACAAAGAATAATTTAAAAAAAATAGATAAATAAGAAACAAAGTAAAAAATCAAAGTTAAATTAGTTTTTATAGTAAAATAATAGTTGTATAGTTTGTTATATTTTCAGTTATATATACCAGTTTTTCGTCAATGAGAAGTCAGTCAAATTTTATCATTCGAGTGGCATCCAGCTCCTTCCAGCCACCCTTTTGGACTGGATCCCGGCACTAACTCGCGAGTCAAGACCGTTATTAAAAAACCAAACGGTCAAACAGTCTCACCCACTAAAGCTAGGGAAAAAAATTAAGGAGGAATTACACTCAAGTTTCATGTAAAAGAAATAATTATCAAAAGGTTTCAATAATAACCTCAACAGCCTATAATAACAAGTTCTATGGTGAGAATGACAACCTCTGGGATTTGTTTTTTAATTGTTTTTCTTGTTTGGGATCTTATTGTAATTCTCTCAAAAATTAATCTATGTTCTCGCAAGCCCACTCAAGATGTGTCCGCCAGATGCAAAGATGAAAATACAACGAATAATATTGAAGAAGAGAAAAGAAGTCAGGCCAAAAAAAACAATAAAAGAAAAGAAGAGGAAGAAGCTATCATAAAAGAAAATAAAATCTAACAATAGGATCGAAACTTATATTATTAGAGAGAATGAAAGGAAAAAGTCCAATATTTTTCCACAGCTTTCATCAGGACAATTTCTTGGACACGGCTTGTGGAACTTAATTTATACTCCCTCCGTTCCTTATTATAAAAGACATTTAGTGCTTATGGCATGTTCCTCTATATAAGAGACACTTAAAAGTTGTCTCTATTTTTTTGTGTTGATTTCCTATTTTACCCATATTTATTGTCTCCAACTCACACTCTCTCTCCTTCCCACTTCTCTTTCTTTTAATAAATTACCATTGTTCTCTCTCATGTTCTCTCTCCTTATTAATGAGGGTATTTTTGGAAAAAAAATTATACTTTTTACATATTAATTGTTCTTAACTAATTTTAACTGTTTTTTTTTATCAACGTAATTCAGTTATTCGTCTCTTATAATAAGGAACGGAGGGAGTACTATCTGGAGGAAATCATCAGGGTAAATTGGAAGATCCTTGTTCAACTATAAATGAAATAGTGCTACTCTCTTTTTCTGTGTTAGCTTTTGCTAGTTCAAGATCTCTTGTCAAGCAATCTTTTCAGCCAATCTTCTCAGAATCTTAGATAGGTGGAGCATCATCATGCATAAATTCAAAAAGGTCCAAGAAACATGTTTTTGTCTTTGTCTTGTTTGCTGGCAAGGCTCTCCACTAATGGAATTTCATTGGAAATGCGTTTCCAAGCCTGGACATCCTTTCTTATCTAGCCATCTGAGAGTTTCTTTGCTTTGGGTATCAACTTCAGCCACTCGCAGTTCAAGATCACATCCTGCCCTGAACATTATTTGGGGGCAAACTATTCATCAACATTGCGGCTGCAAAATCATCTTATTTCCTCACTGACTTGGCAGGAAATTCTTGCATTACTTCATAATTTTTATGTTAATCCTATTTTTCTTCTTTCTTTTGAAGACTTATCTGGTTTCTTAGATTCTCTTTTTTTTTTCCTAGCTGCTTTTGTAGTCAGTAAAACCTCCTTTATTTTAATTTTAATTTCATTTTGCCTTCTTATAAAAAAAAAAGGGAAAATCCATTAAAATTAGAACGTGACCATGGCTAGAGATATGCTCGTTAGCTAAACAAAAAAGAAGAAGAGAGACAGGAGCCTGGTCTTCGCTTTTGGTTTTGCAAGAGTTGTCGTCCAAACCGCCGCCCTGTATTTGGATTTTTGAGCAACACCCAATGCAGCAGCATCAAAAATTTTAAACAAAAGACTACACTTTTTATGCGCCCTTGGGAAGTGAAAATTGAAAAGAAAACCAAAACATGTAGTTGTTGCGGTGAAATGGTATTAAAGAAATTTATTTCAATGAAATATGTTGGGAGTTGGAATGGCTTATTATATATGAGCTTGTTCATTTTTATTCTCAAGTTCTGTATTTAAAAATTTTAAATATTACTCCCTCCGTTCCTTATTATAAGAGACAAATAACCAAATTACGTTGATCAAAAAAACAGTTAAAATTAGTTGAGGACAATTAATGTGTAAAAAGTATAATGTTTTTTTCCAACAATGCCCCCATTAATAAGGAGAGAGTATAAGAGAAAACAATTAAATTATTAAAAGAAAGAGAAGTGAGAGGGAGAGAGAGTATGAGTTGGAGACAAAATAAATAGGGGTAAAATAGGAAATCAATACAAAAAACTAGAGACAACTTTTAAGTGTCTCTTATATATAGGAACATGCCATAAGCATCAAATGTCTCTTATAATAAGGAACGGAGAGAGTATAAAATTTTATAATATAATCAAAATCAATAAATTTTATAACATATGAAAATTTTGAAAATATATGTATTAGAGTTAGTTTTATATTGTATAAAAATTTATTTTTTGGGTAATATAAATGTTTCAATAACTCTTGCGTTAAAGAGGAGTATTTTGCTGAAGATAAAAGTTAAAAAGTCAAATTTAACAGTTAACTAACAATTTTAATAAATAAAAACAGAATCCCAAATCTATATGAGAGAGATTTGTACAACATGCATTTCTATTTTTGGGAAGATTTATATATGTTTTGAAAATAAGGGGAATATTTCTGTGATTTAGGTCAATTGAAAGGACAATTAATGTATTTTACTTATTTAATTATTGTCTTATTGGTTTGACCGCTATCTAACTATTTAAACCATGATCTATTAGTCTCTTTGGTTCGGGGTTTGGTCCAACTTTAAAACATTACTTATTATTGTGAGCCCTCCACCTCAGGCTTCTTTACTGATTGCTCCAGCCCTTTTAATAAGCTTCAAAATAATTAAATTACACAAAGTAAAAAAAAAATAGGTTTAAAATGATTAAAAACAATATATATGTAAGCAAAAAATGCAACTTATTTTCTCAAAATATCCTTATTTATAGAGGGTGTGAGTGTGAGAGAATGAGTAAAAAAAAATATGAGGAAAAATGAGGTGAAAAAATAGAGACGAAAGAAATATATAATTAATTAGAGATAAAACAAATAGCCCCCCATGCTTAATAGAGAAACCAAGCTTAGTATAGCAAGAAATTAAATAGCAATAATTCATCTCGGTTTCTATTCAGAGTCTAGACATAATAACACCAAATGATAACGTCAGGAGTAATTTCCAACAAGAAACAAGAATTTTGGCAATTCCATAAATGTACAAATACGATGAAAAGTAGCAGGCGGATTCGTAGTATCATAAACACGTGCAGCCAACATTCCTCGTAATATTAACATCAATAAATACAAGAACAATCAATGCCCCTAATCTAATTGTATAATGCATCATTACAAAATAAACCAACCAAATTCGGATCCACCCGTTCGCCTCAAGACTCCCAATGTCAATGCTTTCTTTTGTTCAGCAGATGTCTGCTTCCAGGGTGAAACCAGCTTGCACTCATTTGAATTACATTGCTCAAGAGAATCTTACTTCTGAAAAAATTTAGATTGTTGAAATCAACGAACAAACCAATTTGTACGCTGAACCTGCAAAATCTACCAACAAATTATATTTACCAACGACTCAGGTGTTCGTTTTTGTGAAGGAAGCAACAAATGAATTACTAATTGTAAACACCCAATTTTTTCCGGACCCCACAAGAAATATTAAATGTAAATGAAACAAATAAAAAAAAGATTAATATCCTCCTTGATTCTTTTTTGAAAGATAGGTTTGAGAAATCCTCTATATGGCAAATTAAAAAAGAAAAATTAAATAAGAATATTCCTCTTACAATAAATGGCAATAAAATAAAAGATAAGAATAAAAGTGAATTGACTTCCAATTAGAAAATACAGGGTGGACTCTTTAAAAAGGAAAAATAAGAAAATTCAAAAATCAAAATCAAAATTTCCTATTTAAGATGATTGACTTCTCAATTCATAAATATCTTTTGGGGTCATAATTGTGAAAATTTAAAAAATTAAAATTAAAATAAAAAATTACAATTTCATGAGGATTTGGTGTTTAAATAGGAAGTTACATTATAAGTCATAATTGAAGAAAATTAAAAAATAAAAATTAGAGAAAAATTAGAAAACCCTAAGTTGAGCCTATAAATAAAAAAGTAAGGGTTGGAGGAAGACAATCAGAATTTTTTAGTAACAAAGGAGGCAAGGTAGAGTGTAACATCTTAAATTCTACTCCAAGGATTTAAATATTTAAAAACTAAAAAAAAGGGGGTTCAAACTGTTATTTTTTCCGTTTTACCTAAAGTTTTTAATTTCAGTTTATCCTGAGTATTTTCCTTTTACCTTCTCCCCCGTCCTTTTTTCTCCTTCTCCTTTCTCTCTCGGTGTTGGCATTGTGGCTTGCAGCATCGCTCTCTCCCTCCTGTTTCTTTCTCCATCGTTACAGACTATTTTGGTAAGTAAAACTATTTTTAATTACAAAACTTCCTTCATGAAAATTGTTCTACTCAGTCAGATCTATCTAACAATAGTAATTTTGTGTTGCTAAGAAAAAAATTTTTGGTATAGAGTTTGGAGCAAGTATTTAGTTTTGATAAGTGTTAACCACAGTATTGTAGATCTGTTATAGTAGATCATTTCTACCAGTTTAGATTTGTCCATTTGTTGATTTTAGTATTTAAAAATTAATTTTTAATTAAGAAAATATGTTATTTATGAGATATATCATATTTATACCGATTAAAATTAAGTTAAATAATTTATTTGGATTGTTTTGACATATTATTAAAATTTTAATTGGTTTAGTTTTATTTATTGGGTGGCTGAAGGTTTTAAAATAATTATTGTAGTTAAAGTTTATTATTTATGAAAAAATATATATGCCATTAAAATTTTGATTAGATCATTTATATATATATATATATAGAAATATTTGAGACACTATTAAATTTTTAATGGTTCAGTTTTAAGGTTTAAATTTCAAATGAGATTTTTAGAATTTAGAATATACTAATTTCATATTTAGAAATTTTGAAAAATTCTTTTTATTAAAGTAAATAATTTGGCTTGTTAGAAAATTATCAATTAGTTCTAAAGTACTTAATTTTAGGTTATAAGAGTTGTAAGAATTTAGAATGAAAATTAAATTAAATTATGAATTTAACTAATATATAAGCTTAATTAATTAATTAATTAATTAGTTTATATTAATATGTGGTTATATTAATTGTGTAAATTAGTTATTGGTTGAGCAAAGAATTGACCTCGCAGTAATCATTCTATTACTTTGGCGAGAGGTGACCACTTTCCACTTATTATATATGTTAATATGTTGTTTGTGAGTATTTTCCTATTTTTGAATAATATTTGTTATTTGGAATTCGAGTAGATATATTATATCTTTTGAGCTATGAAAATTGTCTCGTGGGATTTTTGGAATTGTGATTGAGAAGTTTGGAAAAGATATATAATTTATCTCTTATGGATTATACTAAGAAAAGATTGAGATATTTTTAGTAATACTGTGAATGATTAGTTGTTATTTAGATTTTGGATTGAACGCTATCCTACCACGTGGTAAGACCGCCATTGGTGCACATTGGTTGGCTTCTTCCTTCTTCCCCTATAGTGAGGGATAAGCCTTTGTAGCTTCTTATTCGTCTCCCAAAGTGAGGGATAAGCCTATATGTCTGATTGATCCCCCACAGTAAGGGATAGACTTATGTGGCTTGTGTGTTGGCCCCCATAGTGAGGGTTTGTATTATTAAAATTATATTTCTATGGATATATATATGTTTTTCGAGAATTAATAACTATCCCACTTGACACCTCATGAGTACGTGTTAATATGTATGATGAGTTGAAAAGTTGGTTACTGAGGCATTTGTCTCATCCCGTGGTTTAACATTTTCAGGTGATGATCTGTCAGGGAAGGCTTGGAGGCTTAGTGTGCTATCACAGCTTGTATAGCCTCCCTTCATTTGTTTTATGTGCTAAATTATTATATATTGCCACATAGCACTCATCTACCTTGATGTTATAAACTAATACATTTGATTACTACTAATTGATGAGAGGGCTGAATTATATTTTTGGACTTTGGAAGTCCAAGACCCAAGTTAAGTATCGATGTGCTCGTGATAAGTTTATTTCTTTTAACCATGATAGTGATTTTAAAATTTTAAAATTTCTTTTTTTCTATCATTGTTAATCTTTTGAATAAATTGAAAATTTTGATCTAAATGGGTTTTAAAATAATGGTCATCATATAGAGAGCTTTTCTATCATCTCATTTCATGATAATGAGTTGGGTTGAGGAAAGAGACAGGAGGCCTGACTAGAGAAAAACCTATTGTTCATTATTTTCTTTCTTCTACCTAAAGAAAATCTATACTCTTGTGATTGTTATCAAAATTGTGAGTTTGACCAATGATGGCTAGAAGGTTTAATCAAACATCATTTTAGTTAATCCTCACTGCTCCCCTTCTCTTTGCTTTGTTCGAAATATGTCATTATCTATTATCCCCATATGTACGCACTTCGATACTCACTTTCTTCCTTTTTATTTTATTTATTTTATTTTTGTCCATGTCATTTTGCTAATATGTGTATATAGTTTTTTTATTATTGGCTTATTTTATAATGTATTCTCTCTGTTTTTTTTTTTAGCCAATTGATAAGGGGAATATCAAATATGAATTTTCATTCCTACTACTATGCTTAACTTGAGATTTATGATAAATTACTTTTGGGTGTTCTTTCTTTTTATTTTCAAAAGCACTTCCTTTTTAAAATCTATATCATGTGAGGTTTTTAGAACCTCCGCAGATATCTAGATTCATTGGTAAACCGTTCAAATTTTTGTTTAAATAAAAAGAAAGAAAATAATTTTGTTCCCATGTTTATAAATAAGTAATAAAACAAAAAGTTTTTTAAAAATATTATATATATATATCTCAAAATGTTTTTCAGAGCCGTGTGAGGTTTTTGGAACCTTCGCAAGCTCGAACAATTATTCTCTCGTGAGGTTACAGGAACCTCCATAGAGAGGGTAATCCAAACTTTCTTTCAAAAAATATTTTTTAAATAAAAATACAAAAATTATTTTCATATATTAAAAAATACCAACCCAAAAAAAACCTTTTTTTTGAATAAATATTTTCTAAAAAATACCAACCAAGATACTCTCGAACTATGTGGCTTTGATCCCTCTAAAGAGTACATAGGCCCTAGGTTTTTATTCTAGGTCAAGTCTAGCTTTATAAATAACTTATCTTTTCCCTTTTTGTAAATAAAAATTTCTTTCTTTGTTTCTATCTTTACTACACTAAAAAAAAAAAAAGTTCATGACCGATGGAAGTAGTGATGGAAAATTATTCTGTCACTAATTTTTTACAGGTTACCGACAAAAATTTTATCGCTAAATTTAGCGGCTAAATTCAGTCAAAAATTTCGTCAGTAAATATTTAGCGACGGAATTAGGAACATAATTTTTTTCATCAGAAATTTTTGTCGCTAAATTGTTTGTCACAGAAGTTTTTGTCACTAATTCCGTCACTAATCCATTACTAATTTTAAATTTTATTATTTTATATTATAATCTTATAACATGATTTATATAATAACATAATTAAGAATGTAATGATTTAAACATATTTTTAATTGCAAAATAAATTGATATATCTGTGGAGTTGGTGTCAATAAAGGTATTGTCATCATTCCTGTCATGATTAGTTATATATTGAGAATAGGAAGACAATTTTTTAGAAAATTATTTATATTTCATGAAAATCAATTCCTCTTGATTATTAATAATAATTAAAAAATATAATAAGAATATCATAACTTTCTTATACAAACTGATATAAGAAAGAAATAATTTTATCATATGTATAATATATTGAAAGATATAATATATGATAGAAATTCAAAACGGAAAAATGAATTTATATGAAAACAAACTAATATTAAAGTGAATTTTAAATTTTAATTATTAAACAATGAAATTTAATCATGATATAATTAATACTCATGATATAGATTGATTTTGGTCTTCAATGCAAAAATAAATGATATATACAAAGAATTTTAAGAAAATAAATTACATAGGATACATATACAAGGAGGAGAATATTGTTTATCATAATCTATTCAAATCATTTAATTTTTGATGTAGAATAATTTATTAGATTTTATTATAGTAGCTATTTTTTGAATAACAAATTTTTTTTTTGGGTGACATGAATAACAAGATTTTTTGACTCATTATAAATGGTTTTCATCAAATGTATAAAACACATATAGATAATATAATATAATGTAGTATAATACGTATATAATTAAATTGTATATTTTATCAATGTTAATTAAAAAATAAATTTTAAAAAATTATTTATGACTTAAAATTCAAAATTAGTGTCATTAGAAATTAAAATTATATTAAAAATATCTTTTAAGAAAATAAAACATTTTAAAAGAAATAGTAAAACAAATAGTTAAAAATTATTTTATCGTTAAAATGGTTATGATTAAAATTATCATATAGTTTATTTTTAGTTTTTAATAATATATATGTATATATAATTATTTGTGTAAAGGAATATTATATATACATTTAATTTTACATAATAAGTCAATAGGTTTATTGTAGCTCAACTGGTAAAGCCGCACATGTACACAGACGAGATTGTGAGTTTAAGCCATAGAGAAGTCACTTTGAGGAAGGAATTATATGGTGGCAGCACGTGGCATCACAAGGTGATATGTGAGGCGGCAACAACACGTGAATGTGGCGACTGGTAGAAGCGTCACGTGGCATTTTATTTTATTTTTTCAAAAATCATATTAGTGAGGGAAAATTCCATAGCTAATTCGTAACTAATTAGCGACAGAATTTCAATTCCGTGGCTAATCCAGAACTAGCAATAGAACAAATTCTGTCACTAATCCTTTGCTAATTCTGTCGCTAAATAAAAAAATTCCGTCATTAAATTCCCTCGCTAATAGCATGTTTTTTATAACGATTTTTTAGGGTAATTAAAATATAATAAAAGATCATATTAATTTTGAGTAGTTGACTTATGGTAACTGTTGTCTTGAACTGGTATTATGGGATGCCTAACATCTTCTCTATATACAATCAACTCCTGAACCTTATTCGATTTTCGTAGACCATATTTTTTAAGTTTTCAAAATTAATCCTTTAAAATTTTAGTGATGACTCCTCTTTTCTTTCTTTTTACGAGATGACTAGGATTCACACATGACACCACTCCTCCTCCTTCAACTCATAAAAATTATCAGCCAAAGACTCAAAGGCTTCCACCAAAACTCAGCCAATCTCCCGTCCCACATTCCCCGTTATTTCTCGTGTATTTTGCAGGCCTGAACTGCTTGCGGCAGAATGTTGTTGACCATAATCGCTACTGGGCCCACTGTATTCACCATTGTACATAACCCGAACTTTCAAAGGCACATAGGTATCGTTTGATACAAAGTATTGAAACTGAAGGATAGAACTTGAGCCTGAGATTGAAAAAAATAATGTTTACCATAAGAGATTACTTGTTACATAGGATTAGATAAACTCATGTATGTGAGATCAAGGAATACCATAAAGAGAAGTGATATTTTCAATCCTACTTTTTTTGGTTTGTCTAATTCTATATAACAAGCAATTATTCATGCTAAAGATTTTTTTTTAATTGCAATCATAATCCCTATCTCTTCTTTTCAATGCTTCGTACCAAACGGGATCTAAATGCTCTGCTGTGCCCAGGTGTCCTCCCCTCATTCAGATCATCCAAAGAAATATTGCCTTCTAGAGCCCGAATTACCTGCTTGATGCCAGACATCTTAATTGTCACAAGCAAGAACTGGATCTCTAGGTTTCAGAATTCTATTTGCAAATGGTCAAATTGGATGTCGGAATTTCTATATTCCAAAATATCATCAGACATTCTATCAGATTTTTCCCAGTAGCTTGCAATAACTTGACAATATATTGCAAGTCAAATCAGTAGCATCTTGTAACTCAATGTCAAGTCAGGTTTGAAAATTAACCAGTTCAAATTTGATGTCCATAAGACCTGAATAGGTATTCGCAGGAAAAGTGTTGTCAAAAACTTGCACACTTCAAGAACAACTTGTAATTCAATGACTCTCCAAAGACAGAGGAGAACAAGTGTTACAAATCTTCTAAGAACTCCACCAGGAGGTCTATTCAATCCAGATAACTTAGTTATATGGCTATTTTTCATGGATCACAAGAAGCAAACATGCCATGAACGGAGAAGCAACTTACAACTTGGCTGTTACCGCCATCAACATCCATTTTGTCTCCCAAGATAACAAATGGGAAGTTTTCTGGGTCAGATGGACTATCCCGTGAAATCAATAGCTTGTCAGAAACATTCATTTTTAATTTACTTAAGCTAAATTGCCTACTATCCTGAATTAACAGCCACCTGAATAAGAAATTCTTCACGCCAGTGGTTCAGATTATCAAAACATTTCATGACATTTACATCATGAACAGGGACGCAGCAGGCTGCACCAGGGTAGAAAGCAACACCAAGACTTTGAAACCTCCCCTGACCAGCGGTATCCCAAATCTACACAAACAGGGAGACATTCTCAATCTTGGAATTTTATACGCAGATGACAAACAGTGAAAAACTTTATACTGTAGTCTCTTTTTCCACATTACACAGTCCAAGGCATCCCCATCCTAGAATCCTAAATCAAACAAAATGGTCAATATTTGAAACACTGATTTCATTATATCAGAATTTTGACCACTGACCAGCCAAAATTTCATTCTTAAGATTGCATTACAGCAAGGATAGAAAAGGTCATGCAAAGAAATTCTTATCCGCAGAGCTGCCAATCACTAGTAAATCAAAAATGCGGGCACTCCAAAAACATTGAGAGTACAAACATATAACGTCATTTAACTATGAATTTGAAAACACTTTTCTTTGAGGAACACCAAGTGAATCAAAAAGAGTAAGTTTAACTTTTAAGAAGTAATGCAACATACAATCACGAGTTGGGCGAAACAGATAAACTTAAAGGGCATAGCGAAGTTTTATCTCAAATGACACTTTCAACCTGCAAGACTGTGCAAGCTCACAGCAGAGCAGAGAAATTCTACTGAATCAAAAAAATTTGCATAGCTTCTCAAATTTATAATTTTTTTGCCTAATCAAGTAATGGTTCTAGACAAGATACATTTGTTATAAAAAAAACTTAATTCATCTAACTGAAAGCAAAAGAAGTATGCTAATATGAAGCATACTGATCTATATTTTGAAGTTGGAGACCAGGCGTTGATGATACTTCGACCTTACCGACAGCTAAGCGTACTTAACAGGCAAAACCAGAGGCTATGAAGTTCTACGGCCCATTTTAGATCGAAGCCAAATCTCCACATTTCTTTCCTAAAATTTTTTTTCAGTTAAGTATAAGAATTCTCTTATTGAAGGCAATCATATACGAAGCCCTATCAAGCACTAAGTATGAGCACATCTTCTAATAAAAATTCAAATACTAGTTTGCCACATTGTGACACGGGTTGGTTTGCTTAAGAAACTTTTGTTGCAACAGCTTTGACCTTGAGGACAGGACGGTCAAATTCGATGGGGAGGGAAATGTTATGGACCCAGGCCCAAGTGGCTATAAGGGCCCAGTGTATGGGCTAGATGAGACTCGAGGCCCAATTGATACATGAGCACGTGCTGGCTGGGATTGAGGAGCTGGCAATACCGTCAAGGGAGTGTTCGTTACGGTAGCCAACGTTCAGAAGCTAATTAAGATGATACTCGTGGAGATGATATGCTCAACAATCTCGGGCATGGTGGAAAGTGTTGGTGAGAAAAAAAAAATTTGAAAACAATTTTTTATTTTTTAATTAAAAAAAACTTGTTTGGTTTTTAGTTGATTGTTTTAAAAAATAAAAAACAGTAATATGTTTTTAAAAACTAAAAAAACAAAAAAACTTTTACACGTTTTTTTATTTTGTTTTTGTGTTTTTTTATTTTTTGTTTTGAACAATTTTGAGAAATTGTCTTCTCTTTTTACTTATTATTTTCCACTTATTATTATCAGTGACAACTATTACCTATCAAGTGTAATCTTCTATAATTTTTTGTCAAAATGATTTTTCAAAATTATTATCCAAACAAATTCTTTTGTTTTTGGTTTTCAAACTTGTTCTAAAAAAAAATTTCATAAAATTGTTTTAAGGATAAGAAAATAAAGAAAAAAACAAACAGGTCCATATATATCTTAAAAAAGCTTTGGGAAAAATAACACAATTTCTTTCTTAGGCCAACTCTTCGGTGCAAAATGGTTGAAAGAAAGAAAAGCAGAAATGATTTCCCTAGCGATTGCTGTGCTTGTGGAGACTGATTGCTCAACAAAGATCGTCTCGGCCTTCTCTTCTTTCTTCATGCAAAGAAAATGACGCAAAACCCCAAAGTTAGCAGCGAACAAATCACTGTCATCGTAATTAGTTCGAACTGTGAAATAACTCCTCCCATACAGCAACGGCTTTACAAGCGAGGAAGGAACCGCCGGCCAAGCTCGAAGAGGTGGCGGCGGGGAAGGTGGAGGAGGCGGCTGCATGGGGTAATCATAGTCTAATCCGTAGTGGAGACCGCGGCGGCGATATGGCCGGCGGCGAAGTGTTGTGGCTCCGTTCAAGAACGTCTTTCTTGGGTTTCAGAATGAGAAAAGAGCAAGTAAATTTCAATTTAATTACAAGAATGCCTCATGGAAGCGATGATTAGATGGCCAGATTCGTTGACTTTACCGTTGACTATTCTGTGTCTCTCTCCAAATGAGTCATGGTGGTTTCTGAAACCGCACTATATATGCATGGCCAGATGGAAAAACCGGACTACAACAGGATAAACGAAGGAAGTAAAGTAACTGATTATAAAAGTAGATATAATTAAAACAAGATAGAAAGAAAAGAAGTGATATCTTTTCTCCTCATTTTATCTTGTGAAATATATAATAAAGAGAACTAAAAATCAAACCATAATTTTAAAAATGATTACAGTATATGAAATAAATATGTAGAAAAATTTTATTTCGATTTGTGTGAAAATATTTTTTAAAAGTACTTTACCAAACATCCTCTAAAACAGAATAGAAATAGAAAGAAAAGAAGTCATATCTTTTCTTCTCATTTTATGTCGTGAAATATACAAGGAGAACCTGAAACCAATCTATCCGTTGTGGGCCAGGTCATTTATGACATCATTGTGCTTGAACATTTAACATTGCCACTTGTTCCTGCTACCATCCTCCTCAACGTCTCCGCGTATGCTTCCCGTTGACGTATTGCGGTGGGGTCCTCCGTCAAATCATTATCCAGCGAAATCACTCCTTCTAAAGCTTTAACCACCTGTTAGATATTATTATTACTACATTTTATATCTAATGTAAAACCTAATTAACTAATTTAGATAGATTAAAAAAATTTGTTAATTATTTGTAATAAATATATATTGTCTAGAAAGTTAAATTATACATCTAGTCCCTTAACTTTACAAAAAAATTTTAGTTTTTAACTGCACCAAACTCCATCATCATATATTAATTTTTATTCTCTCCCATGCTACTTCTATAATATGGGCATGTATGGAAGACATATTTAATAGGGGAAACTGCAAAAAAAGACATTGGAATTGCAAAAACGCAAGATAGGGACCATTGACAACTTCACTTTGGGTTTTGACAACTTCATAACACATTATTGTTGTCAAAACCCAAAGTGAAATCAAGGGTCCCTATCTGCGTTTTTATAATTCTAAGGTCTTTTTTTGCAATTTTTCCTATTTAATACTCCTTGAAACCAAAAAAATACCTTGTAAAAAGGATGAAGAATACCTTCTAAAAGATAACTATGTGTGAGTTATCCCTATTAGAGATCACAAGGGATTTGAGGTTCACAACTCCCAATCACATAACTATGGTGATACATATTTATATACTTAAGTCATCCACTACCTACTGCTCTGTATATTGTAGGATTGGATATGTATTTTGGTTTAATGATTTTCATATACGATTTGTTTTACATCAACGACTCCCTTGTATATATACTCCTCTGATTCTATTTATAAGGCACTTTCAATATGCTTCATACAGACTAAGAAAAATCTTAAACTGCATTAACTCTTTATTAAAATATAATAACTTTCCAACTTTACTCCTACTTAATATATACACCTTTTAAAAAAAATATCGACACTATAATAAATAAAGGACAATATGGTACATTCATGGTAAAAATTTAATGAAGTGACTCATAAATAGGATAAAAGAACTTCTCTCTCTGCACCATAAATAAGACAAAAAAACTTCTCTCTCTGTCCTATAAATAGAACCAGAAGAGCATATATTATCATACTTTTTTAAAAAAATCAATTTCGTAATAAATTTCTTTAAAAGGGAAACAAAAATTTTATAATTTATGTGCTCTAACCTCGCTCATTCGACGACGACGCTCGGCTGAATGGCGGACGCAATTAGCAGCACAAGAAACCATTCGAAACATCTCTCCCGGGTCATACTTTCCTCGCAACCTGGCATCAGCAAGCTCCTCAAAGTTTCTGTTTCTCAAAGCTTCCGACAACAACGTTGTCGCCTGTGATTTTTAACGCATATATGCAAGTATCAGTCCGCTACAGTTATCACTCTCCTACCAATGAAGTCATCACAACAAAAAAATTAAAAGACGCATAAAGTAGGATCATGTTTTTTTCGATGTGTATCCATAAATAAGATCACGCTGTTGGATGTAGTCAGGAAATAAAATAACTTATCTATCAAAGAACATATAATAGTACGATGTTATATAAAAGAGAAATATTCTTAAGTAGTACAGTACAGACCCACTCATACAAACATTTCGGGTACTTCTCACGATCATTAACAGGTTGTCGTCCTGTAATCAGCTCTAAAAGCACAATGCCAAAGGAGAATATATCTGACTTCTCAGAGTAATTGCCGCTCACAGCAAATTCTGGAGCAATGTACATGTGTTCAATGAAATTTCAGGATTTCATAAATATTGAAATAAGCACTACTAAATATATATATCCAGTGCGAATCCATGTACTTATAATTGCTAGTGAGAATAAAAGATTAAGACTGACCCCTGATTTCCCATCACTTGAGTCATGATATGGGCCTCTAATAGCAATCTGGCGAGTCCAAAATCTGCAACCTGATAAATATATATAGATAGAAGCACATATTAATACGTCATCGATATTACATATATTGATGCTTGAATTCATTCTACTTTAGAGCAGGAAAAATATCTGATAAATAGAAAGTCAACTAATTTGACTTAGTTGATGTGCCTTATTAAAGATAGGGTTTAATGATAGAGAGAGTAGTGGGAACTCTCACAATTTTCTTCTTGTTAAGTCAACATCAAAATTTGTTTTTAAGTATAAAGGAAAAATTAATCATTTGGCCCATATAGATTTAACTCAGCTAAAATTTAATTTTTAAACTTTGGCTCAAAAAATTTTAATCGTTATAATTTTTTATTTCATTAAAACTTAACCCTTAAACTCTAGCTCGATGTAATCCATTCCTTATAGTTGTTTCAGTACCTATATTTCAACAAGAAAAGAAGAACTAAAGCTATTTCTTGAATTGTTGGAGCTAATGTTTTAAACTGCTAAAATAATGAGGATTGAGTTGCTTTAAACCAAAATTTGGAGACCGAATAATTTTAATCAAGTCAAAACTATAAGAATTAAATCATATTCAATTAGGGATTAAATTTTAACTGAGTAAAAAAATATAAGAACCATATTATTAATTTTCTCCTTGTACAAACACAGAGGGTGTTTGAACAAGGAAAGTCTTCCTATTAATTGAAAAGCTTAAGGTATATTACAATGAAAAACACTTCGGTTAAATTTCTTATAATAATTGTGTTAAGTTCTCTGACCACATGTGGATATGTGTCCTAATCTTGTGTAATATTGGATTGAAAGAAGCAAATATCTTAAAGAGTAACACATAGTGAACCAAATCATCTACAGTGGCAGGTCAAGAAAGGTTACCGTCTTCATGCAGATATTTCAATCCTTGCGCAGAGCCAACAGCAATTTTCATCCTTGTTTCCCAGTCTACATGTGTTGTGCCTTCTCCTGAATCTGAATACATAAATATTTTCTCTAACCATATATGATTCTAACCATATATGATACTTTCATATTCGACGGTTCTAAACCGTTAAATATGAATAAAAATAATCATCAAATATCAATAATTATGCAGTAGCGAACGCTGAGAGATTTTTCCTAGTAGACAGAGAAATGTAGAGCATTGGAATAGGCTACAAATCTTACCATGCAGGTGGTGCGCTAGGGTTCTATTTGGGACATACTCATAAACAAGCATCACCTTTTTGTGAACTTCATCAACGCAGTATCCAGCAAGTGAAACAAGATGTTTGTGATGGATTCGACTAATGATCACGGCCTCAGACTGGAAATCCCTCTTTGCCTCTTCCATTGTGGATTTAAGCTGCTTAATGGCAACACTTTTATTATTCATACTGGGGTGGACTCCTTTATGGACAATGCCAAAACCGCCTTCGCCCAGAAAATTTGACCTTGATAATCCATCTGTTGCCAATGTTAATTCCTGATATGTAAATGTTTGAGGTCCTAATGCAAGGCCAGAAGCAATTCGTGACACTGGACTTGAAACTACTTCAACTTTACCTGATCACGCGGAGAGCTGGCATCAATAATTGTTTCAACTGTGTTACATTGTATAGTACTCCTCCGGTTCTTAATATAGGACCCAATTCTTGAGTTGGTTTTGGTCCTAAATATAAGACCCATTTTTCATATTTATCAATTTTCTCTAAATTACCCCTATGGATACTCTATCAACCATAATCAAATAGAAGAGGGAGATGAGGTATTAAGAAAGGTGATTATGGTGTTTTAGGAAAAATGTGTTATTTTTCTTATAATTAACTAACTTACCTAACTTCATTAATCTAATCAAATTAGTTAAATGGGTCTTATATTAAGGACCGGAGGAGTATTGTTATTTGTTAATTACTCTTAAAATTTTTAAAATATTTTTTTTTATTGCATTGCTGTATTCCCCTGCTTATTTTGAAGCGTACATAGATCATGAATTCAGGTTGGGTTAGAATTCTTTTTCTCATTCTTTAAAGATTTAGACGAGCTACTGTTAAGATTATATTTATTCAGGTTAAACTTTTCTAGCATAAAGTGAAATGGTTAAGTCATAAATACAGAGTTTGTGCATCCAACATCTCGCTGTTACATTATCAGAACGCTGAACTCGTATTATCGATTAATACACCAGTTTCAATGCTCATCACTTTGATAAGCTTCCTAAACTTATCATATCTGGATCATTTATATTTGATTTAAACGGTTTAGATTTTTAACTAATTATTTTTAAATAGAAAAAACTATTTTTTGAAAAATAATAGTTAAGAGATTATTTCTATTTTAGATTTTATACATATTAAATAATTATTGTAAATAAATAAAAATAAAAAATAAATTAAATTCAGATCATCCAAAAATATATGGATAATCTAGATCTGATGAGTTTAGGGTATTCGTCGAGATTTAACTTGGCAGTTATAGTACTATTTGACAGGCCAGATCAAATTAACCGTGGTCATTTTCTTTTTAATTGAGTTTAATTAGTAGCGGTGTTGTTTAATTTCCCATCGATTTGGGTTTAATTTGTACCATGAGACTTTGCAATAAATATAGTAGTGCTATCAAGGGCATGACAACATACCAGTACTCAATTAGGTCCTAAATATGGGATTTAATAACTAATTTCTGTATATTGAAGAAACTAATTAGTTAGTAATTTATAAAAAATATGAGTTGATTCTCCTATAATACCCACCTTAGCTCTTTATATTGAAAATTTCCCCATTAATAGAAGTCCCTTCTAATAATGCAATTAATATCGATAGTTTAGAAAAAAAATTTATATTTGATAGACAAAATGAATTTAACTTTTCTTACATTTTAAAACTAAAACAAACTTCTTAATTAGCATATATATAGGATGTGTTTGGCTGGAGGGGAAGAGAGATGCTATCCTTCTTCACCCTAAGTTGAGGGATTTTTGGAAGGGAACCAGATTTTTTTTGGACTATTTTGCCTCTTGTTATTATTGTGATGTTTTATTAGTATCTATGAGAAAATAAAAATAAAAATAAACTTCTCCCTCATTCCCGAAATTTATAAAATAAAATAGAATTCTTTAAGAGATAATTAATCTATAAGTTCTTATAGTTTCAACCAATTTTGAATTAGGTCCCTATAGGTTTTTTTTCTTTTTATCAGGTTCTTATACTTTCATCTATTTTTAATTAGGTTTTTGTATTTATTTTTCTTTTTATCAAGTCCTTATAAGTTCACCTTATTTTTAATTAAGTCCCTGAATTTTTTATTCTTTATTTTATAAATTCTAATAGCACTATCCTATTAACATAAAATATTATATATTATTTAATATTAGTTTATAACAATAATATTCTAAAATAATGAATTATTATGATAATTTTATTTTTTGCCAGCAAGAAAATATTAATTTTTCTAAAAAAATTTCCTGAATTAATTAATTATATTACTTATTTTTATTATATAATTGTTAATTTAATTTCATTATCAATATTTTATATTTCAGTATTAATGTATTTAATTAAGTTTATATTTAATTAATAAATAAAAATTAAAACTACATGGACTTGATTAAAAATTTAGTGAAATTATAAGGACTTGATAAAAAGAAAAAAAACTACAGAGACCTGATTCAAAATTAGTTGAAACAATAAAGACTTGCAGATTAATTAACCCTTTTTTTTCAAAAAAAAATGTAATAATAAAAAAATTTCATAACAAGTTGACAACATTCGATAACAAATTTCAGCGTAAGAAATAATAACAAATTCACATTACTTACTTGTTATTGAGATCTTTTTTAAAAGAATACTACATTCTTTCGTTTGAACTTTACAATGATTTCCCCAATTTTTAACGACTTTTATATTGTCAGGTTTGAACCATTGGTCGAATTGGGTCTCCACATTTCTTCTCAAGAAATTAGAAAACGTTTGGGCATCTCATATTTTATAACTAGATAATTATTTAATTGCGCAAATATAATAATGACTTATTTTGCTGTATTTTTTAAGATCTAAATAATTAAATATGCCCCAAATAAGGGGCTCTTCATGTATAAATAAGTCACACGAATTTGATAAAATATGATGAAAATGCTTGTAAATACGTATGTAAAGTCTGCAAAAATTAGGGAGATTATCCACCTGTATATCTGAGAGGTGTGAATCGTAAATTTAGACAGATGACTTTTGAATCCATATATAAAACCAAAAAAGTGTGACTTTAATTTTAAATATGAATGTATATGAAAAAATTATTTAATATTCATTGAACTTATTAAATATCTAATAAAAACATTAAATTAAAAATATTTTTTTTGAAATTCCGTACAATAAGGATTAGAGGGAATACCTTTTTTCTTCCTACATCGTTATTGTGAAATGAAGATAGATTGTTTAAGTTTTAAGAATATAATGGAGTACGAAAATTTAACATCATGGACTTTATAGTTTCAATGGCTCCAATGAAAAACCCGAAAAAAAGAGTTTTGATTTTTAAAGTTTGTTTTTATATAGTATATTTCATATTATTTTAAGAGAGGAATAAGGACTTTGTCAAAGTAGCTGAAGACTGGCTAACTGTGGGGTCATCACTACTACAGCTGGACCATGGAAGAATTTGTATTTGAGTATGAATTGCTGTTCTTATTGACCCTCGGCCTCATATTACCGTTTCTTTAATTAATAATATGTTACTCCTCAGCTCCTAAATATAAGATCATTTTATAGTATAATTTATATTACAAAAGGGGCCTTATATTTAGGACTGAAGGAGTATAATGTTTTGGGTAAGGCGGAGGCGGTGAGTCTGAGTAAGGCGGAGGTGGGGGCTCTGGCTCGTAATCTTGGAGTCTGTATTAGGGGAGAGTTGTTTCCAGAGACGGTGGATGCATCGCCGTCGAGGAGTAGTGGCTTCTTCGTGCAAGTGTGTCTCTGTGAAGCAGCAGCAAGCAAGGAATCTCATGGTATATAGCAAGACTCATTGACTCCATGTTGACTCTGTCTCAGTCAAAATTACGGAATATTAATTAAATTTGCTTAATTGCACGGTTACAACTGGCGGATCCTGGCTGGAGGCGTCCTGTCTCTTGTTTTTTATTATGCTGTTATGAGGGTTTTGTCCTGAAGAAATGAGCAACTTCAAATACGTTTTCGTTTCCTTAACGGCACTCACTCACTCACTCACTCACTGATCAGCGTCCTAATTAAAGTGATTTTTTATGTAATATTTTACTGATCTTAAGGTATCTTTTGAGTCAATTTTTTTAATTACTCTTTTTTTGCCCCCCATAATTTCAGTATCTATCTTCTATATTTTCACTAACTAGATCTTATGATCCAAATGATAGTTTTGGGGCTTCCTTTCACAATTAATAAAAAGAATTTGGGCGCTCGAATGAACATGTGCAATGGCTTGACTTGGACCGCACAAAAAAAGCGAATGGGGTCCTGACATTAAACCCCCGACAACAATTAACAACTGAGGGACCAAGCATGACTCAAATTTGAAAAATCATTATGGAGTTTTTTTTTGAAAAAAAATGTAATTATTAAAAAAAATCTCATAACAAGTTGACAACATTCAATAACAAATTTCAGTGTAAGAAGTAACAACAACTTCATATTACTTACTTGTTATTGAGATGTTTTTAAGAATAGTACGTTCTTTCGTTGGAACCTTACAATGATTTCCCCAATTTTTAATGACTTTTATATTGTTAGGCATGAACAATTGCTGTATTTTATCTCATATGTCCCAAATAAGGGGCTCATCGTGTATAGATGAGTCACGCGAATTTGATGAAATATGATGAAATTGCTTGTAAATACATATGTAAAGTCTGCAAAAATTATGGAGATATAGCCACTTGTATATTTAAGTGCGAATTGTCAATTTAGAAAGATGACTTTTGAATCCATATTTAAAATGAAAGTGTGAATTTAATTTGAAATGTGAGTGTATATAAAAAAAATTTAATACTCATGGAAATTATTAAATATCTAATAAAAACATCAAAAATATTTTTTTTTTAAATGCCTTATGACGAGGATTAGAGGGAATGCTATTTTTCTTCCCATCGTTATTGTGAAATGAAGATAGATTTTTTAAGGTTTAAGAAAATAATGGAGTACGAAAAATTAACATCATGGACTTTATAATTTCAATGGCTCCAATGAAAAAGCCGATAAAAAGAGTTTTGATTTTTTAAAGTTTTTCCCATATTAGTATATTTCATATTATTTTAAGGGAGGAATGACGACTTTGTCAGCCGGAAGACTAGCTAATGGTGGGGTTATCAATACTATTGCTGGACCATGGATTAGTTTGCATTTATGAGTATGAATTACCGTTCTTACGGGCCGTCCCCCTCACATTGCCGTTTCTTTTTTTTTTTTTTTCTTTTTCTTTATTAATTGCCGCCGGTGACATGGACCATGGTGGAGGAATTTCAAAAACAATAATCTCATAACAAGTGAATGCCTGCATCGGTGCAATATATATATAAATTATATGTGGGTAATTTAATGAACAAGCTGTTAAAATTGGTTTATGAATTGTTTTAATTTAATTACACTATATCTAACTGATCATCGTGATCTTTTTATGTCTATGACTATTCACTAATCAAACAGTCATTTTAAGAATGCTTTTTTCCTTAATATAGAAGCTAATTAGAGAGTTGATATTAGTTCTATATATAAGATCTATTGTCTCCAGTCCTAATTATAAGACCTTGTTTATAATCTATAAACAAGATTTTATAATTAGAACTGGAGGTACAGTATTTCACATATTTATTAATTTTTTTAAATTAAATATATTGATATTCTCCCAGTAATAATCAAGTAGGAGGGAGAGCCAGAGAATTAAGAAAAATACTCAGAGTGTTTTTTTAAAAAAAATCATTTCAATTAATTTAACTAATATTTTTAATTTATCCAAATTAGTTAAATAGGTTTGGAGTATAATATTTTGGTCCTTCCTCTTTGAAGGTGGCGCCCAGCTCAGACATATGGTTGAAGAAAATTCCAACCTGTGTTAGTTATAACTGTACTGATGTGCAATTAGTGAAATTTCATTAATATATTGACTGAGACAGAACCAACGCGTCTTGTATTATATCCAGCCTCTGTTAGTCTTGTATTCTATTCTTGCCCACGCTACTTTACTGACATACTCGAACTCCTAAGAAGCCAAGACTCCTCGCCGGCGATGAATCGAACGTATATGGGTGGCGATGGAACTCCGACGGGATTTGGGCCTCGAGCTCATGGCTCACCGCTACGGCCTCCGCCTCCGCCTCGGCATCTGTCTCCGCCTCGGCCTCGGCATCTTTCTCTGCCTCGGCCTCCGACTTATTCTCGGAGGCCGTCTTCACCTCCGCCTACAGAGTTGGTCCCTGCCCCAACTTCACCGGCACCCATGCCGGAGTTTGTATTCTCTGTTGAACCACCTCCGTCATCCCCCGGGTCTCCATCAATCTGGCAAATTGCAGGATCAGTGATTGGTTCGGTGGTGATATTGGTGCTGTTAGCATGGCTTGGGAAGAAAAGGAGGACGGGAAAAAAGGACAGCGAAAGCGGAGGTAATGAACTTCTTTTGCATGGGAGAGTTTGGTGCAGGATCGATTTCACAAGAGAAAAAAAGACACGAAAATATCCCCGCTCTTCTCCCCCCTTTTTTATTTAATTTTACTTTTATCATCACTTCGTATTTTACATAAAAATTATCCGTCTCGTTCGTCTCCTTCTTTGGATACTTCGTATATACGAAATTATTATCCAAACTTTAATAACTTTGATCCTGACAAGAAAAACAAAAAATTATCACCAATAAGGTTAGATCATCTTTCCTCTTCAACAATATGGTTGTTGTGCTTTGCAGATCCATCCAACCAAATCGCGGTTAACATGGCAAAACCAGGTAAGGTCAAATTCGGGAAAAAATTAAATTTTTTTTTTGTTCCTATCATTTTTAACTTGATTGTAACTCACTTTTTAAATTTTATCCTGATATAATTCAATCCTTATAGTTTTAACTCAGTTGCAACTTGACCTTTAATATCATAAAGTTTAACTACTTAAAAAATTAGTCCCTATATTTTTAAAAATAAAATTACATATTTCATAAAGTTGAGGGGCTAAAATTTTAAACAGTTAATTAAAACTATAGGATCTGAGTTGTATGGAATTAAAATGTAGGAACTAAGTTGCTCCTTCAAATTACCCTGCTGCTGATGATGGCGCGGTTATACAAATGCAGTAGTCCTTAGGAGAACTTTGATGAAGTATGATAAATCCGTTAGTTACCGTGTGCCTTGCAGAATCCAACCGAATCGCCAATTTTGGAGATCCTTTGCCGGTCAACAACCCACGCTCAACAAACAATGTACGAGGTGAGGTTAAATTCAAAATTATCTGTTTCTATGCAATCCTCCTTGGGAGAAAACTTTTATACTGCTACCTAGTTGAGAGTTCAATTTAGTCTTAAATATAAGATCTCAATTCATTTTATCTATCAAATTTATAATTCATTCTTTAAAATATCCCTATTTATTACATATGTTAAGGTGATTTCCATCCAATGTAGTTATGATGAACAAAGTTATTTTAAGAAAATTAACTCATATTTGTTATAAATAGCTAACTAACTTAACTAATTTTTTTAGTCTATTTAAATTAGTTAAGCAGTTCTTTATTATTAAGAAGCGGAGCTAGTATAGTGCAAGAACTTTGCACCCATTCTCACACGGATCCAGTTTAAGTCGATCTGGATTTAATTTGTTACGTGCACGTTGCAGGTCGGGCACCATCTCGTCCCAAAGTCGTGGATATCCCTCGCGCAGCACCAAGAATATTTACATATGAAGAATTAGAATTGGCGACAGATGGATTCTCAAAGTCAAAAAAAGTCGGGGAAGGTGGTTTTGGCACTGTCTATCAAGGAGTCCTCAATAATGAATTTGTTGCAGTTAAGAAGCCGAGATCTGGAGCCAACCAGGGAAAACAGCAGCTCCAGACTGAAATCCAGGTCATTAGCCAAGCCCGTCACAGACATATTGTTTCCCTCGTCGGATACTACATTGATGAGGATGAAGAACGTGGGAAGGACATGTTGCTTGCTTATGAGTTCATCCCAAATGGTTCATTACACTCCCACCTGCATGGTAAGACTTGGATCCATTTTCAAAAGGCAATCATGATTATAATATGTTCTTAGTACGTACATCAGTGTCTGTTATGAAAAAAGAGTGGGTTGGTATATGGTAGTTGCATATTGTAAATCTTCTGCAAGTTTATCCGTTCTAGAGGAATTGATATCTGGCCTGATCTTAGGTACAAGTCATAAAAATACTAAGAATACATAAAATCATTCAGGAAAAGGCACAAAAATTATAGACTGGGAAACAAGGATGAAGATTGCTATTGGATCTGCAAAAGGATTCGCATATCTTCATGAGGGCTGTGAGTTTACCTGGAATTCCCAATCTGTAGAAATCTTAATTAATTGAATTTATTATTTTTGTAATCTTACTTTTAATTATATGCGTGTTTCGTTTTAGGTAAACCCAAAATCATGCACGGTGACATCAAACCCCATAACATTCTTCTTCTTGATGATTTTCAGCCAAAGGTAGGTCTCCCTGGTGGTGACTTCATAATTACTGAATATGTGGAATCCACACAGATGCAAGTTCCTATGCCCTCAGATTTTCAATCAAAACAAACCTCACTTTCCTTGCAAACACATTGGATTTTGTATGAAATAGAAATATATATAGAATTGCAAATTAAATAGATGAGAAGATGGCTTTTGGTCAAAAAAATGTAATTGAAAAAGGTTTGAAATCGCAGTCTTGTTTCGATGCTTCGTAACTAGTATCACGAGGAGTTCCAAATTGTTTTCCCTTCACCAAATTAAAGAATCCATTCAATTACATATTAACATGCTACAAAGTTATTGGGCTTGGCTCATCTTGAATTCCAACGTGGTGCTTTGAGCATCGATATATGTTATGTCTATAACAAAATAATTATTTGTGCTTGTATCTATTAATTAATCAGATAGCAGACTTTGGACTTGCACAGCTTCTATCTGACAGTGTTACCCACGTCTCTATGTCGCAAGCCCAGGGAACCGTGGGGTAAGTCTTAGTCTTGTCATCTATAGTCTTCACCTTTGAATCTCATCCCACTATATATATGTGAAGTACATGGAGTGCCATGGGATACTGCTTTTTTCCTTTTGATTGTCCCCGTTTTCCGTTAACTGTGTTTATTATTTCAATAATCTGTAAAAAGTTCTGCTATATATATATGTATATATATCGTTGGAACACAGATATTTAGCTCCAGAGTACTTTGAAGGGAAACTCAGTGAGAAGTCAGATGTCTACGCCTTTGGTGTTGTACTTTTAGGGATGATTACAGGACGACAACCTTGTGACTTCAGAGGGGCCTTGGTTAAATGGGTATGTACAGTACTTCACCGATATTTACAGTCTGGTTTGTTCGAATTTGTTTAGAGACGAACGATCTTACCTTAGATAACAGAATAGGGCTGTTTTAAATGTTCATAAAAGGTTCTTTCACTCTGGATTTTTTGTTTCTATATTTTTTTTCCCCAGATTAGTTACGAAATATAACTATAACTAGTTCATGAAGATATCAAGCATAGCTGTCTCAAATTTCAGTAGAAATGGTGCTGAACAAAATCTTGGATAACTGATGATAATGAATATTTGAAATTACAGGCAACTCCTCGACTCATCGCAGCCTTGGAATCGAGAAACTTTGAGGCTCTTGCTGATCCAAGGTTGCAGAATCATTACGACCCGGAAGAGATGTTTCGGATGGTTTCTTGTGCTGCCAATTGCGTTTGCGTTTCACCCGCGGCTCGTCCACGAATGAGCAAGGCACGTACTATATATATGTTTTCGCATTTCAAACTACAGTTTTGGTCCCGCGCATAAACGTGATTTTAAAATTTCCAACGTCTATCCTAAATGGTGCATATATTTGCCTCACTATCAACCTTACATACTACTTCTTCTGTTATTAATATAAGATCTATTTGACTAATTTGATTAGATTAATGAAGTTAGTCAATTATAAAAAATATGACATGTTTTTTTAAAAAACACTATAATCATTTTTCTTAATATTCTCCCTCACTCATTTGATTATGGTTGAGGAGTATCTATAAGAATAATTTAAAAAAAAATTAATAAATATGAGAAATAGGTCTTATATTTAGGATCAAGACTAACTTAGCAATTAGGTTCTAAGAACCGGAGAAGTATCTTCCATCTCTAGTGCAAAAGCTAACAGTTAGTTACGAATTGAGTTTCATCTTAAATATTACTATCTTCGGTCGTAAATATGTATATTTTGTCATTAATTTATTATTTTTTTATTATAAATTTTTATAATTATAACTTTGATTTTTCATCATATTTATTGAAACTTATTTCCAATCCATATTTTTCTTTATCATATAAATGATATGATATTGAAAGAGTTATTAAGATAATTAATTAAATTTTCAATCAAGTATTGTATGTCTACATTAACTAAATTACTTGAATTTTTACCCAATATGATAAAATATTATATTAAACAAATAACTATTTGTGAAAAAGATTAAGGAGAAGAAAAAGAAAATGCTTAAATTTTTCAGAACAGTTTTACTCAAAATTAGGAGTAATGTAGGATGATGAAGGATAAGTTAGTAAATAAGTTTTTTTTATTAACTTATAATGTGAGGGAGCAGGTGGTTCAAGCTTTGGAAGGAGCGATTGTCCTGGATAATCATCTCGCGGAGGAAGCCGCTTCAAGACTTCAACCGCAAGCATCCATGGAGGCTAAGAGAGAGATGGCGCTGGTGACAATCTGAGTCTGATCAATATCACCTCCTCCAGGGTTCTGCCTCCAAAATGTCCAAATGATATCAATTAAGGCTCTGGTATTTTTCAGAACATCTGCTACAATAATGTTGCACAGATGGTATGTGGTTATTTCTAGTTGTTTTGATATCTGGCCCCTTTGAAAAAACTCATGACTAACTTTTCAATGATGATTTATGAAGTACAAAATAAGTACATATGTAAACGGTGTTTTATCTCGACTAATATAAATCGTGCTTGTAAATTATTTTGATGGTGATGGAAAACAGGACCATGGTTTCATTTATATATTGAACTTCCGTAAGCTCTATATATGTGTGTTCGAAGCGTTTCTGACGAATTAGTGTGTGGATTTGATTTGATGTAAATAATTATTATTTTGGGTAAACTGTAAATTTATGCAAATAGAATTAATTGATAACTAAGCCTAACATAGATTAGCCCCTTGCAAATTAACACAAATTTCCTTGAATTCTTCCTAATTAAGAATTGAGTCCTAATATAATGAGCTCAATTGAAATTAAAAAGTGTATAAGCAGGCCCCTTGAGTTGAATTTTGATTTTATCTACTACGGAGTTTAAATGCAAAACTAATTCTAACGTTATGCAGGAAGACAATCTTGCGATCAAAACTCCACTCGACCTTCCATGGTTGAAACTACATCCTCATTGACGAACCCCTGCAGCTCCGGCCACCAAATCGCTCTCCTTAGTCATATCATGATTATGAGATTATTCTAATTTATATATCCAATTCAGATTGCATATGTAACCTCAACATGTAATGACGTATACATTGGAATCATGAAACATTATTAGAACCCATTTATATAAAATAATACTTGCTTCATATTGTATAATAGACTATTAGATATGATTTTCCAGCTGACATTTTTTTTTATGTATGCATCAGCTCCCAAATAAGATGTTCAGCAAAAACCTCACTTATTAGCCTTCATATTTAAAGGAGTATCAATATTTTTATTAAAAGGTGAGAATATTCCTTGATGGTTTTATTCACATACAATATTATTAGCGGGTAACCTCGGCCTCAAGAGAGCCTGGGAAGGGGGATTCAGACAGATCGTCCTGAAGAGCGACTCGCAAGAAGCTCTGAACTTAATTCAGATGACCCAAACGGAGCTGCATGAGGAGTCCTCTCTGATTGACGAAGCCAAGAGCATGCTTCGAAGAGATTGGAAGGTGAGTTTTCAACAGATCGACAGAGAGGACAATAGGAAAGCGGATATGCTTGCGAAGCGCGGGTTAGCTGCGGGATACGGCCTGCAATTTTTTGGCCCTGAGGCCACGGCGCAGATTCTTCTCTCGGATACGGGAGATCAGTTTTTCTCTTATTGGTTGCTTGTTTTTTCTGCCTTGTATTTCCTGCATATCAAAAAAAAAAAAAAAACTCTTATGATGCTTGATATATGTACAACATGCATAATTGACCCATGCATAGCATGCATCCTCATATGCACAAGCTTGACTTTATCAGTTTCAATTTCATTATAGAAAACTTGCTGACCAAGTAGCTGATTGGCCCACTATCCACTAAACACGCAAATTCACATCGGGCCAATCTAATCTACTCTTGGTGGACCCAAAGACACTCAGGGTCTGTTTGGCTCAATAAGAGGAAGGGGAGGGGAGAGATTTTAATGGAGGGAAAGGGAGGGGAGGAGAGTGGAAGGATTTTAATATTACCTTGTTTGGTTTATGAGAGAAGGGGAGGAAAAAATATTTTGACATAGACAATTTGCCGTCATTTTATTTAAGATATGAACATAATGGTCACAACATGACAAAATATAGGCATAATGGTCAACACCTGGCAAAATATTACCCTTTCCCTCCAAATCCTCCCAATTTTGGAGGGGAGGGGAGGAAAATTTTTTTTAAATTTTTCTTCCCCTCCTAAAATTTGTTTGTTGCCAAACAAGGAAAAATGATTAAAATCCCTCCCCTCCCTTCCAAATCCCTCATACCAAACACACCCTTAGAAAATATTTTTTTTATAAATTGAGATAAAACTCTTTAAACATACTTACCTCGTACACTTCCGTCTTCAAAAAGCAAATCCAAACACCCTGAGGACATTAATTACATAATTTTTCTTAAACTTATAAACTACTCAATAATTATTTATGGCAAATCCACCATTAATTCCATTAATTACAGAATTTCAATGAAACCATCAAAACAATTAGATATTACACTCCTGAAATAAATAATGTACCATATGGTTTTATTTGAAACACACGCATGCAAAATATCCAACTCAAACATATAATGTTTAACCAGAACCTCATGTCTATTTCCTTTGGAATGAAATTGTAGACTGGCGTTCATATTCAAGTTTCATGTCTATTTGAATATTTAGGAGGCAGCACTACTAGAGGGAGTGATACTGATTAGAGTTCCCCCTACATGGATTCCTCGGATAATTGACGTCTAGGGGCGATGTTCTGGGTCGGGTCATTATCTAGGCCAGGCCATCCTTCTAAAGCCATAGCCACCTGCTTAGTCACAAATTAATTATATTCAACCTTGTCTTTTTTTTTTTAAAGATTTTGTTATCAAAAAGAAGCAAAGGGTTAAAAAAAAAAAACAAGAAGATCAGTTCTCAGATATTCACGTTACGTTTCGTTTGTTTAAGATTAGAAATAAAAGTGATTCCGTTTGGTTGACTAATTGAGGTAGTTGATGGGAGTTTTTGGGGGTAAAGACGTAAAGTTGGGGGTGCGTGTAATGAAAATAACCACATCTTCTGGCTTATAATTTTGATAGGCTAATCTAATTAATTATCAAAATAATCTACAAGTAAATTATTTTTAACACATTCTCCATCTTTATCTCCATGTTTCCTCAACAACTCCCTCGTTTTTAATCAACCAAAATCAATTTTTTTTTAAAAAAATAAATATACTGACGGTAAATGATATTAAAAAAGCGGGAAATACGTTAGCCCCCATCGTACTCCATCTCTATTTTAAAAACATATATTTAAATTCAAACTGTGAAATCCGTTAAGAATATTTTAAATAATAATTTAAGAGTTTTCTTTTTTATTCCCTTGATTTTATTTGTTTTGGCAAATATTTATTTATTTAATATAATGTTTTTATCATATAGGGGTTGAAGTTTAAATAATTTAGTTAAAGTGGACATAAAAAGGGTAAAAAAAAAAACGTGAACATAAAAAACTTGATTTGAAATTTAATTAGTTCTCTTAATGAAAATATACTTAACTAAATATATGTTTATAAATGTGTAGGAAAAAATGTGTTTGAAAATTTTAAACTATAAATTTAAATGATTTACATAATCTCTCATACTTACATCATTTGTGCTTTATGATTAAAAAAAAAAAAGGTATTTGAAATATAAACGTGTAAATAATTCTCATATTAAGGTAGGGATTTTAGTGAAGACAAATTTGAAAAGTCAATTACTCAATCTTGACTATCAACTAGTTGGATTGATGGAAATGGAATGTCAAATAAATAAAAAAATATTTGTCATGCATTTTAATTTTAAAGGAGATTTATATATGTTTTTAAAATAGAAAAAAATCTCTATAATTCAGGTAAAACAAAAGGATGTTTAGTGTATCTTTCTTTTAAAAAAATCAATTTAAGGGGAAAAAATCCAATCCTAATAGATTTCTTTAGTACGGAAACCAACAAAATATAATTAAACAAAACTGAATAAAAAATTCAACCATTTATGTTTCAGTTATCAGTATATATGTAAGATTTATAGCAAGTCATATAAGCACTGTTTACTTTTGCCCAAAAAATATATATATATATATATATATATATATATAAAAGCACCGATACTTTGGGATAGACATAAAATCACTTTTATGCGCATACATATAACACACATAACATATAATATATATATATAAAAGACCAAAGTGCCCTAACCTGGCTCATTTGAGGACGACGCGCGGAGGACTGGTGAATGCCACTGGCAGCACAAGAAACCATTCGAAACATCTCTTCCGGGTTGTAATGGTTCTGCAACCTTGGATCGGCAAGAGCCTCAAAGTTTCGATCTTCCGAGTTCAAGACTGCTAAGAGTTCAGGTTCTGACTGTGATCGATCGGTAACATGCATGTATTAGTGCCGAAATTTCAAGTATAATTAGTTATCTATGATCTTGTTGAGCACCATTTCTTTGTTAAAATTTGATACATATCTTGAACTAGTTATAATCTGAAAGAACGTTTTATGAACATTAATAATAATGCAGCCCAATTCTGTTATATATCTGAGGTCAGGTCTTTCGTCTCTAAACAAATTCGAAGAACACAGACTAACCGTGTTATCTGTGAAGTCACTGGGTTTTCGTCCTGTGATCAACTCCAAAAGCACAACACCAAAGGCAAACACATCTGCCTTCTCAGTGGCTTTTCTCCCTCGAGTATATTCTGGAGCTAAACATCTGAGTTCCAACGATATATATAGCAGAACCTTTTGGAGATTGAAACAAACAGTTAACGGAAAACCTTCCTTGCATTTTTGTGGATTCCACATGTTCAGAAATTATAAAGTTACAAGACAGACCTACCTTTGGCTGAAAATCTTCAAGAAGAAGAATGTTGGCTGGTTTGATGTCAAGGTGTATGATTCTGGGTTTACCTAAAATGAAACACCAATATTATTGACTTCAAAAGGTAAGATTACAAAAGTAATAAAGTGTTAATTAAGCAGGTAAACTCACAGCTATCATGAAGATATTCCAATCCTCTTGCGGAGCCGATAGCAATCTTCTTCCTTGTTTCCCAGTCTATAGTTTCTGTGTCCCTTCCTGAGTGATTATATGTAGATCAGGCAAGATATCAATTCCTCTAGAGAACATTTATGATGAACATATCCATATATGTTATAATTATTCCCTTCTAAAAATGGGTCCAAGTCTTACCATGCAGGTGGGACTCTAACGAACCATTTGGGATGAACTCATAAACAAGCATCATGTCTCTCCCACGGGCTGCATCTACATCAATGTAGTATCCAACCAGCAAAACAATATGTTTGTGACTGGCTTGGCTAATGGTATAGATTTCAGTCTTGAGCTGCCGCTCCCCCTCCGATCCCTCTGATGTGATGGGGCTCAGGAGTTTAGCTTCTTAATTGCAACAATAATATCATTATTAGGGGGGAGGGATCCTTTATAGACTGTGCCAAAACCACCTCGGCCGAGTCTATTTGACACTGAGAATCCATCTGTTGCCAATGCTAATACTTCATATGCAAATATTCTTGGTGAGTGTGGGAGGTCCAGGACTCCGGGACAAGATAGTATTCGATCCGCAAATAACAATAGTATTCTCCTAATTTTTCTCTGTGTCATCATCAGTAGGAACAGATACTTTCGAACTTAACCTTACCTAGCTGTGTTGCAAGGTTTTGCAACCGTGGCTTGTTGACCGACAAAGGATTCCCGACACTGGATTCTGCAAGGCACAGTTGTAACTAAGGGATTATCCTGCTTCATTAAAAGTTACTTTTCAAGACTTTCATTTCCTTTTGGATATAGCAAACAAATTCCAACAAATCTAGCTCGAGTTGGGTGTAAAGTTTTCCCGAGAGGATTGCATTTGTGCTGCGTCATCATCAGTTGCAGGCTAATTTGAGGGGGAATATAATTAAAAAGCAGCAGATAATTTTGAATTGGGAAAGTTAATCTTTTTTGTGCTTGTATTTTTTCACTTTAGGTCACAACAACGTAATCCCTATAGTTTGACTATGGGGAAAACTTACCTCCAGTTGCTTATATCCAGTACAACCAGTTTTCCAATTAAAAACTGCCCTCTGGATTCATTAAACAGGTCATTATTTAACGGTGTTTCCTTTTTCCATCTCCGTTTAAGAGCACAAATCCCTAGCAAAAGCCATAACCCACCATGCTGAGCCATAATGCCGGCCTTACGTTCTATCTCATAGGCATAGGATATTGCCAGAGACGGTCACGCTAGGGAGCAAGATGACGGCGCCGTTCATCACCAGTTTAAGGGAAGCTCGAGAGGAATCAGGGCAACAATCAAGACTAGAAGGGTGGATGGTTTGTGCTCAATTAAACTTGATTGTTCTGAATTCTAATGAGTGTAAGGAAGAGTCTGATTCTGGCAAAGGAGATGATTCGGACCTATTTGGAGATGAGATTAGCACGCAAACCGATAGAAAAAGCAAGATCAAACCTTCGCTGAAGACAAGCCATTGCCGTTTGAAATAGGGATGGTCGACTCAGAACAGAGAAGGACGCAGTCGAAACCAGAGCAAGTATGACCAGATCGATCATGATGGAAGTGGCGGCGGCTAAGATGTAAGCCATAGGCAAGAAGGTCGCGGTGTCGACTCGGAGCTCGGTGGTGGAGATGGTCGGAGAGCTTGGATTGTTTTGTCTGCTTTTCTCTTTGCTACGTTAAGGGTTAAGGCGAGGCAGAGGCTCGTGATGAAAGTCCAGTAACAGTGGTCGCCTCTGTTTCAGTGAAATCTTAGAGCACGAATTGATTTTCCCTTGAACGAAGGTGGAGAAGACGACGAACTGATTTTCTCATGAACAGGGGAGGAGAAAATATAAACATCGTTAAATGGGTCATTTAATGAATCCATATGATAGTTTTTTATTGAGAAACTGGTTGCACTGATACAACTAACTGGAGGTAAGCTTTCTTGTTTAACTATTTAAAATTTTAGTCACTGAAATTCATTTTATTTTTAAAAATACAGGAACTAATTTCTTAAATGGTTAAACCATATAAACTGCTTCATATTGAGTTAAAGTTCAGGGTTTAAGTTATAATCAAGTTAAAACTTTAAGGCTCAAGTTACATGGAATCAAAGTTTAAGAATTAAATTACAACTCATTCAAAAATATTTGGATCAAATTTTCCTTAGCTTGAGAGACACGGCGAGGTCTACTGGCTGGGGACGGCTTTGCGACTGCGGGTTGTTGGCGGCCATAACAGCGATTTCGTTGTTTTCTCCAACAACAGTATTGAAATTAGAGGCTAATTAACAGTTGAAAAGGAAAAATACGGATAATTTCTTTTTGTTTCTCGTTTTTTTATTTCTAGAAAGGTCCAAATTATTTTCTTAACAAATATATTATTTTAACTTAAACATATAAATTCCCTTTCCTTTATATCATCAAAATTTAGTAATCTCTTCATGTAGATATATGAAATCACTTTAAGAAGGGTCTATCAGTGTTATTATATAATGTTAAGGTGCAACCAACACTCCGAATTAATTTTAAAAGTACATCCAGTATCTTAAACTATTTAGTAGTACAATTCTGCTCATAAACTATTAAAAATGGAGCTATTTCACCCCTAACTAACAGAACCTTAACTCCGTTATTGTTCATCATCTTCTGCAGAACAATGAGGAAACTATCATCTTCATAGAGCAGCACAGAGAGGGACAAGAAGATTACAGGAGACAGTCCTGTTCACCGCTCTGCTTGAAACTCAACCACCACCCCGAGCTCTATGAAATTGCGCGGTGAAAGAGATAGTTATGCAGTGAAAATGAAATGAGAGAATGAGATGACTTCTGCTTACGATGGACTTGCCTAGTTGAAACATCCAAAAGAAATTAATGTAAAGAGCAATGAAACGCATGCCCCATAGCTATAACAAGACAATTCTATTTTCTGGGGATCCTGGAGAGAATGAAAATTTGAAAAATTGTACAGTCCCTTATACCCATATCAATCTCAGGCAATCTCAGCATTTCGAACCCACAGTTTGAGAGAAGTTTAAGGCGCAAAATGGAAGACGGCATAGTTATAGTCCATATGCTTGTCGGCGACAGTGGTGGGACGAGAAGCCAGAGATCTGTCGTTGTGGTGAAGCACTATTTTGCGACTTCCCAGCTGCTAATCGCATGGTCTTGGACAGTCCCCTGATGAAGACAATGAAGAGTAACGGAGTTAAGATTCCATTAGTTACGGGTGAAAACTGCTCCATTTTTAGTAGTTTTGGGGCAAAATCGCACTATTAAATAGTTTAAGATACTGATACACCTTTAAAATTGGTTTGGATTATTGAATGCACCTTATCCCCATTACATATTACTATCCATCATATCGTAATAAGGAATTTGTTGTTAAACAACAATAAAAACTTATCCCCACTAATGAAATCGATCAGTTACGTGAATTGCTTAAAGGTTAAGTTACAAATTTGCTTTGAAAGTTTTCATTTAGAAATACTGCCCACTCAAAATTTTTTTTTTGGAAATAAATTTGTCTCGGAAGTTTAAAATCGTGGCGATATTGTACCATTAAATATATTAACTGTTAACATCACTATTGTAATGGTTAGTTAGTTTTTTAACAGTAGGAGGCAATATTACTACGATTCTAAACTTCAAGGGCAAATATGTTTTTTTTTTTTAAAAAAAAACTTTTGGGGGCCTAGCGTGTATCCTGTGTGAAAACTTTAAAGGTAAGTTTGCACCTTAATCCATTACATAATGACTTTGTGTTGTAACGCACATTATCAACAAAAATATTTTAAGAAAGACTACTCTTATTTATAATAAATAACTACCTTAATTAATTTTTTAATATTCGCAAAAGAGTTATCTAATGAAACAAGAAAACAAACAAGATCTAATTTTCTCATGAATTTAAGATTTAACCTTACTAATCATGCTTATAAGTGGAAACAGGCTAGACAACCTATTAGGAGCCTATGCCTTAACTTGTTTAAAAATAGAAATAGGCCCAGGACTTTTTGAAAGCTTATTTAGCTTAAAAAGTATTTTGATAAGCCTGTTAGGTCAACTTGAGTTTATTATAAGTTTATAATTATAATAATATGAGAAAATTAGTTTATTCCATTATTTTTAATGTGCTATTTTAATTTTTTTTTTACACATAGTTAACGTCTCATTGAATTTTGAAATCTAGTCTGCATGTAAAGATAAGGATATAATTTAAAATAGTAGTGTCAATAAATAACGTGATCTTTAAATTCTAAAAATATAGATTAAATAGTAGTGAAAAAAATTTATTCTAGAAGAATAGCTAAAAAGAAGAGAAAGAATTGATAAATTAATTAACTTATATGTTATGTTAATCAAATCATAATACACATTATTCGTTGTAAAGTTAATCATTTTCTTTCCCTATTTATTTGTCCTAATTTTTATTTTAATTTTATACTTATGTTTAGTCTTATTCCAAATTTTTACATACAATTATAACTTGTTTTAAATAATATTAACTATAATTAAGATTTAAAATAGTACTTATAACATTAAAAATTAAATAAAAGACAAGATTAAAAAATAATTATCATGTATTATGTATATTTTTTTTTCATTAGTCCATGTATTTTTTATTATATATTTTAAAATTTTTAAAATTAAAGACTTTTTTAACAGACTTAGGTTAAATCAAGTTTTTGTATAGAGCAGGCCCATGCCAAGAAAAAGGCTAATGACACATCACACGCCAAGCTTATGTTGGCTTGTTACTAGTGAGGCTTGACTTTTTAAGAGCAAAATCTAGCCTGCTCCTAATTTGTTTCCACCCTAATTGTGCTTAAAAAGGCATAGTGCCGAGTAATGGCTGGGAATTGTTTTGTGATAATGGTCGTTGACTAGCGAAATGGCAATTTGTTTGGATGGATCTGTAAAGCACAGCAACGATTTAGTGTCATTACTCACCTCCTACTTTCTCCTTACATAACTAAAAATTACTTCTTCTATCTTTTATTATAAGATTTAACTAACTGAATTATATGATTTAAAAAAATTCTTACAATCACCTAAAAGTAATAAATAGATAGAAAATTTACTTTTTTTTCCCAAAGTTTCTCTTATTTATAACTAGGTAAGTGAGTGAGAAAAAAATAAGAAAAAAAATGTATGGAAAAAATAACAAAAAAGGTCAACTAAATAAGGGTAAAATAAGTAAAGTGTTGTAAAATTACAAGAAATAAGAAGACTAGAGAGTAGAAAAGAGAACAAGAGATAGATAAGACAATGGCTTTTTTTTTCATTTACTTTGTTTCATGGTCCAAATGCCTTGTACATGCCCTCTATTTATAGGCCTCCAATCATTAAAATCCTATAATAAGGTTACAAAGGAATAAAGAATATCATAATGACATTAACAATTAATCAGAAACTCCTCCCAAGTCATTCATTAGGAAGGTTATGTAGTTTATGACACTTGAAAGTAAGGAATCCTATGAGAATCCTAAGAGTTAGGGGTTATGGGCATCCACTCATGTAATATTTATAATATTCTCTCTTGGATGTCCATAACGAGTATTGTGCCTCATTAAAACCTTACTAAAAAAAATCTATTAGGACAAAAACCTAGTGGAAAAAAAAAGAGTACATAATATTTACTCTCCCTAATGAATGCATCATTTTAAGTCTTTAAATCTGCGCATTCTAATACCATACAGTAACTTCTCAAATGTTCTAGTAAGCAATGTCTTGGTGAACAAATCACCAGGGTTATCACATGAGCGAATTTGTTGAACATCTAGATCACCACTTTTCAAAAGATTGAGTGAAAAAGAACTTTGGAGAAATATGTTTTGTTCTATCTCCTTTGATATATCCTCCCTTTAATTAAGCTATGCATGTTGTATATTATCTTCATATAATATTGTTGGAATCTTCTGTTCAAGGGAAAAACCACACATTTTTTTAAATATATTGAGTCACTGACCTCAGACAAATAGACTCTCGACTTGCCTCATGAATTGCAATTATTTCTGTATGATTTGATGAGATAGCTGATAAAATTTGTTTTGTTGAGTGCCATAATATCACTGTACCTCCACAAATAAAGAAAAATCCTATTTGAGACTTGTCTTTATGTGGATTTTATAGAAATCCTGCGTCTGCACTAATTAATTATTATTCTGATTTATTAGAGTAAAAT